CTTGTTGTTCCATAAAGCTGTGTCGTATATATACAATGAAAACTGTTAGAATACCAACCTGTGAGATCTAGCATATCAACGTGATCAAACTGCTCTACACCCCAATCATCACCACTAGCAGCTAGTATCATCTTGTGAGCTTTAATATGATTTCCTCCTTTCAAAATAACTTGTACATCACTGAAACATTATAAGATATGATCAGGTAAGGTATACTACTTATATAATGAACATAAAATTTAAATTTTCACAACTATAAAACAGCATAACTGCATAAATAATGCATCCATAAAACTAAAGCAATTATTGAAAAATTTGTAAGGTTTATGGTAAAATTACACAAGGATTCTGTAGGTCAACTGATAAATGTTATACTCTTATTAGCTAAATATAATATTGTATACCAGAATCTATGTAAATGTAACCAAATTGTCAATAGCGAAATTTTGGAAAGAAGTATTTAATTTCAGTCCAAGATTTGTTTCGCATCACTAACTCTATTTCCCATAGCACTTAACGTTCCCCCCCGGCAACAAATACTGCTTATTCAGTTCAGTTTAGGTATTTGACTGTTAAGTTTTAATTAATGTTTTGTCAGAAAGATTGAACACAAACCTAAATTGATCTGTATTGAATAGTTTGGATGCCTGAAGTTGGAGTCGAGTTGACAGACCAAACTCTCCTCCATTTTCTTTGCACAGAAGATTCTCTAGTTTACACAGCTGACTTCGTAGGTTTTCATATTCCAGCTTGATGTCACTCAGCTCTTCGTTTATTTCTTCTGCTAAAACAAACATTAAAAACAGAATTAGATTCAGACAGTTAAGTTGTATCCCTCGGCTTTCACCAGGTGTCAAGACTAATCATGGATCTCATTTTGCATGTTAATTTTGATATGTGTTGTGATGCTACAAGATGGAAACAAGATAACTGACTGGGACAAAAGACAACTAAAACCGCTTTTCAAAAACAACTTGGACCACTTTTAATAGGACTTGCCACCCTTTTTTTGAGCACTGATTCCACTATTAAAGAAAACTTGTACCAATTGAGTATAACTGCACATGAATGAACAAAGTGATGTCAAAATAGTGAAAAATAAGCTTGATCCACTCAAGGCTCAAAATAAATTTAAAAGTATAAAGTATATGTGAGATTGCAAGTGTTGCTTCCCAATTCATTACTTATTTTACTTGTTCAATTGTAAGTTAATTAGTAGATGAGGAAAAAACTCAGAAAAAAGATCAGAATAGAAAATAGAGGTGGAAACCACTTTAATAAGGGGGGAAACCACTACATGTTTTCAGAATAGGGTCAAAATCACTAGGATTAAAAAGAGGTGGAAACAACACTTTCATTGATTGGCCTCAAATTCAATCAACAAATGGAAAGTGATTTTTGAAAAATATCATGAAGTGTGTATATTCCATAATTTTATTGTGTTTGTGATTTGTAACTAAGCCTCCTCATCACTTCCAACATTCGTTCAACTTCGAACTAAGATTTTCGGTGTCTTCTTCGAACACAAAGTTACGGGGGAATAGGGATTAATGGTGTAAAACATGACAGAATCAGATCAAAATAGCCTCAAATATTAAGAATTTCTAAACACCTTCATTGGTGGCCATTCTAGAAATGCGCCATGTAAACGTTGGGATGCTACGAAATCGTAACCAACGATACTTTTCATTTCATTTTCTCTTCAAAAGATGCAAAAAAAAAAAAAAAAAAAAGCTCTGATGGCTTTCTCACTTTTAAATGAAACGAATGGTCAAAATTATCTACTTTCGTAACATTTGTACAATTTGTCTAATTCAAAATCGTAGAAGAAAAATTATGAATCCTTGTTTTTTCCATTGGTTACGATCTGTTAGCCTCATTCTGAACTTGGAATATTCAAAATCCAACATAATGTGTAGAACTACACGAATAAATATCTACTGGTTTATTTTGATCGCTCTCTAATTCTATGTCATGTTTCTTTTCCAAACAATTTTAGAAAATTTTTAGTTTTTTAACAAACTTTTCGAATAAGTTGAATTTGGTCTTCAGAGACACAATTTTTATTTTAGTATTTCGTTTTGTTGAAAAACATTCTCAAATTTTTAGGAAGATGGAAGTGGAACTATTGAACAGAATTTCATGACTTTCTGAAACGTAATTTCTTATTTCTTTGACCTGCTTTAGACCTCTTAAGATTAGTCGCCGTCGCTTTTAACCCCTTCATTAGATAGACTGAGTAAATTTCTTCTCAAGTCTGTGACATCAGAAGAGAAAAAGGGAACCAGATGTAATGGAGACCAGTTGATTGACAGCTTGGAACAGAACAGAGTTGAGCCTGAAAGTGTAACAGAAGAAAAAGTCATTGACAAAACCCACTTAAATTAAAAAAAATATGCAAGCTGTAAAGCCAAAAGCCCTTTTAACCCCAAAAGAATTTAACAAACGCTCAACCTTAGAGGTAAGATATATCAAGACAAATGTTTGATTGAATTCTAACTGCAGGCCAACATCTTTCAATTTCATAATGTATCTCCTCTGCAATTCAGCAACAGGGTTTGTTTGATTCACACAAATGTTTATGTTTGTTACAAACATCCTATGCAAATCCATATGTATGTATCATTTGCAAACGTTCATAGATCTTGTCAATGAAATCTTCACATATATAGTCCACACCATTGTTTTTTTGAAATTTACATCCTTATTTCAATAAACAGAAAAGGAATATCAGTCCCCTAAATACTTAAATACGTCTCCAGTGATGAAAGTTGGCAAATTTTCAGCGGAAGGGTGGTTAGACTTTTAAAACGTCACCAAAACATTTTCTGTGTCATCTTAACTTCAGATTAAAAACTTAACTTAAGTTAAAAAAAAGTTAAAAGTGATCTTTTCCACTACCACAGTCAAAGTACATAATCTGACAGAATTAAAACTTTCAGCTCATCAATAAGATGCGTTATTTGATTAAAATAATTCTGATAACCGTGTATTGTATTCATGTTTTTTTCCTGCATTTCAGGAATGGAAACATACATATAGACGGGGGGATTTTTTGTCTTCTTTGAAACGACACTGGAAGAATTATGTCCCTTATGTTTACTCTAATAAGCATGAGCCAGGGAAAGAAGAGCGATTGGCTGAGAAGTTATTATTTCGACCAATGGAGGAGTTTATTTGTGATGGTAATCCAGAGGAAGTGTTTCGTAACTTGAAAGAAAAGGATAAACCATCACAGATTTGTGGCCATGGGTTTAAAACAGGAGAACCCACTTATTCTTGCAGGTAATGAAATTGATGTACATGTGCAGTGTTAAAAGTGTAAGAAGGAGACTGAATATGATTAATCAACCTCAATTTTTGGTATCATAGCTATAAAATAGCAGTAAGATAATGTTAGTAATCAAAGTAATATATTTCCAATTACAGAGACTGTGCTACTGATCCAACATGTGTTTTATGTATCAGCTGTTTTCAGAAGAGTCCACATAGAGAGCATAGATATAAGGTGAATATTTCAGCTAACGATCATCCTCCTGAGTTAAACACTTGCTTTCTTTTTTTTAATAGGGATTTAACTTCATCATCATTTGAATAAAAACAAATTACTACAGACTGTAGATTTACTAAAACTTTCATATTGCAAGGCCATAATGAATATAAAATACCAAATAACCAATATTAAACTAAGTATTCGAAGTATATAAAGTCTGTTACAGAGTTGCATAGCTGATTCTGTTGATGTAATATGTTTTTTTTTGGCAATGTATGTTGAAACTGGAAAAACTTAAAAAAAGACAAAATTTAAATGAATAAATTGGTGACATAACCTTTACTATTCTTTCTATTTATAGATGAGTGCATCTGGTGGTGGAGGATATTGTGATTGCGGTGACCCAGAAGCTTGGAAGATTGAACCATTCTGTGAACAACATAAACCAAAGATGGAGGCTGATGAGGATTTTGTAAGTTTTTTTTTTGATTTGATAGGACACTTAAGAACTACAGTGGCTCTTTAAGTTGTAGAGTTCCTTGAATTAATTATCAAATATCCAAGTTAATATATCTCAAAGCTTTACTACTTTACTCTGAGTAACAGTAAGATGTTTCAAGTTCTGTTTTAATATTTCTATTACTATATCGCTCTACAATTGATGTATTGAGCACTATTTTAACAGTAGTATTTCTATATCGCTCTACAATTGATGTATTGAGCACTATTTTAACAGTGGTATTTCTATATCGCTCTACAATTGATGTATTGAGCACTATTTTAACAGTGGTATTTCTATATCACTCTACAATTGATGTATTGAGCACTATTTTAACAGTAGTATTTCTATATCGTTCTACAAGTGATGTATTGAGCACTATTTTAACAGTAGTATTTCTATATCGCTCTACAATTGATGTATTGAGCACTATTTTAACAGTGGTATTTCTATATCGCTCTCCAATTGATATATTAAGCACTATTTTAACAGTGGTATTTCTATATTACTCTATAATTAACATATTGAGCACTATTTTAACTGTGGTATTTCACTATTTTAACAGAGAAAATATTTTATTATTTGATTATAGAATCCTATGGATGAGCTACCCAGTGATTTGAGTGATCGAGCCTCAGCGTTATTTCTATCAGCTTTAAAATACTGTGTAGATTTACTAACCTGGGATGAATGTGTTAATCTACCAGATGGATTAGAACTAGAGGAGGAAGATTTAGACAATGTTTATCATTGTATTTTGTTTAATGATGAAGTCCATACATACGATCAGGTAATTTGATGCTTCTAGCAGGTTATCGTTATCAAAGGGGCACCTGCCAAACTTTAAGATGTGATAGATCAGTTGGCATACCAACAGTAAAATACATTGACTATTTTTGAAATTTTTGTAGGTAATACAAACATTACAGAAAGCTGTAGAATGTACTGAGAAAGAGGCTGAAGATTTTGCGACAGTTGTTGATAGAGAGGTAGGGAAGTTTTTTTCTTCTTATTTTACGTTAGTTTCAAGAATGTTCAGCAAGGTATTTATTGATATTTTTTATTCCACATTTCAAATGATATTTGATTATTGCAGGGAAGGACTAGTGTTCTTACTGGTGGAAATGCTGATTGTGTTAAATCTAAAGAAATAATCCAGGTAAATTATATTCTTAAGGCTGGCACTCTAAGCCAAACTTGATGTTGATTTCTACAACCATATCCTCTGTAGAGTCTTCTAAGCTTTATGCCAATCTGCAAATCAAAAATATTTTGGTGTTACAGCACGCCACACCTAATGCCACTATTTATATCCACAAGAGTTCCCATAGCTAATACACAATTTGTTATTTATTTCAGAAAAGTACATCTCGACAAGGAAGGAAGCCTTTAAAATGTTATGTTATGCATTCATCTGTAATAGCTCACCAAAATTTTGCCTTAAAACTCTTACACTGGCTCCAGGAGGTCATCTCTAAATCAGACGGACTGAGACGACTGTTTTGTTTGTTATCTATGCAGAATATGGATGATGAATCAATTTCCTCACTAATGGAAAGATTGTTACTGTCTGACACTCAACTGTGGAAAGGTAAGATTACTAGAAACAGAATATCAATAACTATCCTGCATTGGATGCATAGATCAGTCAAACTAAAGATACCACATTCTCAAATTTGCACAGAGCAGATATGCATCAATCACAGCTGATATACCTGCTGTTCTGGCCGAATCTCTCTGATTTAACACTGTGCCAGAAATTGCAAAATTTAATACACATATACCTAATAGAGAGAAGAGTAAGATGTAGAACTCTAATGGTTTTTTGTTTCATTTTATTCTTGTTGCAAAATATGATATAAAGCAATATCGATTTATTCAAAAATGAAATGGTGAAGCAATTAATTGACACTGTCCGAAAGAACCTTCATTGGGATTACCATAGCTGTAACTAATTACATCTTAGATTCTCCTGTCACAGTTTTTTACCTGGACATTTTTCTTCTTATCTGTTTGCAGCTGCTCGAGTTCAAAGTCATCAACTTTTAATGGCTGGGTATGTTAAATTTAGAATTTTTTTGACAGACATCTCCACAAGACACTGAATAATGTCTCAAACTTTTCCTATCAATTATTGTGGTCTATTCTTGGTCCTTGGTCCTTGCATAAGTTACATTTAGTAAGATTTTAACTTTCACCTTTCAAGACAGGCTTTTATTGATATTTACAGAAATGTTCTTTTGTAAAATAAATCTTTCAAACAATTTAAAATTGCGTCTGAAATTTTGAGAATTATTTTCCAGTGTTCTCATGGATCAAGAATGTAAGAAGAAATTCGCAATAATTTTCACTAAAGTAAGTTAGTTTAATTATTGTTACTTGGTTACTCTGTTAAAATTTTAGTTATATTTTAGTTATTTTCTTGACAATATATATCAAAGTGGATACACACTAATATTTTTTAAAAAACTTCTACCTTGACAGAATATGGAAGTGCGTTGGTATTTATTGGAGAAAATCATAATTGAATTATACATGTATTAGGGGTTACAACACGCTCAGGATCCTACTGTCTTTTTCGCACTCTCGTTGGTAAATCCAAACTTCTCCATTATTATTATGTAAACTAGAATATCAGCTTCAAAATGGTATTGAGTGTTTAAGAATAACTGTATTATCTCATTGGTAATTCCAATGCTATTATTTTTATGTGCAAAGTGTTAATAGTCTAAAATGACGTATTTATTTTTGTACATAATGGCCTATTTTTCCTCCGTAGCATTATCGAGCCTTAATGAATGATTTCTGTCTGGACGATCATAATCATGATGTGTCAGTTATCTCCCTTACTGTACAGATATTTACCGTGCCCAGTCTGGTAGGTTGATGTTATAACAATACTGGGTAGACTGTCTATAATACATTTCAGATAACTACTTTCATTTTAGAAAATAGAAATAAATTTTATATTCTTAACATATGGAGTGCTAAGCATTTATAGAAATTCCACTGTTGAAAAAGTGTTGAGAACTATTTTGACAGTAGTATTTCTATATTGCTCTACAATTGATGTATTGAGCACTATTTTAATAGTGGAATTTCTATATCTCTCTACAATTGATGTATTGAGCACTATTTTAACAGTGGAATTTCTATATCTCTCTACAATTGATGTATTGAGCACTATTTTAACAGTGGAATTTCTATATCTCTCTACAATTGATGTATTGAGCACTATTTTAACAGTGGAATTTCTATATCTCTCTACAATTGATGTATTGAGCACTATTTTAACAGTGGAATTTCTATATCTCTCTACAATTGATGTATTGAGCACTATTTTAACAGTGGAATTTCTATATCTCTCTACAATTGATGTATTGAGCACTATTTTAACAGTGGAATTTCTGTATCTCTCTACAATTGATGTATTGATCACTATTTTAACAGTGGAATTTCTATATCTCTCTACAATTAATGTATTGAGCACTATTTTAACAGTAAATGTACTTTCAATCTGAACTGCAACTGGTTAATGAAATCTAAAATGAAATTAAAAGTTTGGCAATACATTATTAGCAATAAATATTCATATGAGGAAGTATAATAAAACAAAATATATTCATTGTTAAAATAGTGCTCTATGTGTTAATTGCAGATCTATAAAGAAATAAAAATGTTCATATGAGGAAGTATATATCAATTTTATCTGAAATGTATTATTCAGTTTTCCCTGTGTTTTATTTAAGTTATGTTATGTTGATTGAATATTTGTTTTGTTATTTGCTTGTAGTTATATCCAAAACTAATGCAAGCTTTTATTGAGGATGATCATAAACGAAAAGTTTCCATTACGTCTAAATCTGTTCAGTTATTTACTATTCCTGGTTTGGTAGGTTTTTACAACTTTTACAGCTTTCAACCAGGGCTGCTGATTTCAAACTTTCTTCATTACATTTTGAAATTCAAAATCAATTTTTGAAAATAAAATGAAATGAAATGAATGGAGTTTTACGTCCTACTTTTCTGAAATCAATTTTTGAATTAATATTTATGCCTCTATATACACTTGATAATAAAGATAGATCTTTCTAAAATCATTAAAGGCTGTCATATATGAGAAAAAAAACATGGACACTTTCAAATGAAAATTTTAAGTAAATTAAACTTTAAACCATACATCTATTATACTGTACTTATTTTCCAAAATCAAAAGGACTACCTTTTTCTGAAAATCATTTAAAAAATAATTTAATTTGACAATATGAAAGAAGCATTTCCAGTTCAATATGACTGGCAAATACAGTCAAATCAACAGCCCTGTGTGCATGCTATTTGTCACAATTTTTTAAAAATATCACTTTTTATGGCACAAGCTAAGCCTATCTGGACTGTTGCTTCGAAACTGTCAAAGCTTAACATTCAATGCTCTGCTTCTGATTCTTTAGCGATTTTCCTCATAAAATGAAAGTCTAAACATCTTTACACTACACGAATTATTCAAACCAATAAAAGCCTGCATTTCTTTTTGTTTTACTATTATTCTCTTATTTATCCTTTTATGTCTCAGGATGAATTTCAGCTATCTGCAGATCTTATCTTACGTTACATGCAATAATAAGATTAGTTTGATCTGATTGCTCTGCAGGTTTAGCAATGATTTTAGGATTCGCACACACATTATAAAGTTGCTTGTGAAAGAATTTATTTTTTTAATCTGGGACTGTAATTTTGATAAGATTGCTTATTTCTAACTACAGCAAATAATGAAACTGTTTATTGACTTTACCTGTTATATTTCAATGTATTTTCGGTCTTATTTGCAAAGTCCAAATTTTTAGAAAATTATGTACTCTGATTAATAAAACAATATTAATTAAAAATCAGTTTTTACCCTTTGACCAACTCAATGAAGTTTTTTGTTTGAAGGAATCTTCAACTTATGTTATCACTGCCTCTGTATTGAGTGTAGTGTTTCTACTATATTATGATATATTTCAGTGTATTTTTGGTTTAATTCTTAAATCCGGATTTAAAAAGAAATATGAACTCAAATTCATAAATCTGTACTTATTTGATATCAGTATATTAGTTTATGAGTAGTTTTATTTTTTCTTTTTTTGCTGTCTCTATATTCAGTAGTTAGTTTTTATCATATTATGAATATTTTGTAGGCTCGAATGCTGATAAAGAAATATAACTTGTTAGAGACAATACTCAGAGCTTATCTTGAACCTTGTGAAAAGAAGAAAAATGGTAGGAATCTTTACTTTTACTTTGGTTTAAAGATATTTTCATGATGCTGTTCAGAAGGTGACCATGAGTTCTAATCACAGGAGGGAAACCAGAAACCACGAATAAGTCATTTTCCCTAATTTGTTCAGTTAATCCAACTGTAATTTGGGTACTGATAATCAGAGAGAGTCTGTCTTATTTATTATTTTTGTTCAAACTAACTTAAAATTAGACTCAGGACTTGTGCTAAAGTACAATTGTTTGAAGAACACATATTTTGTAGACCCACAATGATTTTTATTAAGAATTATATAAACATGTTTTATTTGTAGCCCAGGGTACGCTATCCTTTGATAGAAATGAGAGAAATCCAGTGTTTAAAAGATCTTGGTATATGTTTTTTGATCTCAAGTAAGTCTTCTCTTTTATGAGAACCTTTTCAGTTTTTAATGGTTGGCTTTTTTAAGTTTATTATCTAATGATTTAATAATAATTTAAATAACTATCTTTTGTTGTTGACTTGTAGATATGTATTAACCTTCGTATATGAACGTCATGGATAATCCAGGAAAGATCAATGTCAAGAGATTTTCTAAGGACTAGTCGTAGAAAGAATCCTTGTGAACCTAAGTTGTTATTCTTGTAAAAATGATTCAATGGTTATTTCATTTCTTTCTGTCTTTTGTTCTTTACTTAAATATAGATTGGTTTCTTTTTCTGTCTAGGTAAGTGAATTAATAATACCATGATATATTGTGGTCTTCATGTTTGTTATATTTTAATCTTTGTTTGTCTAGGTATGCCCTAATCTGTAAACCAGGTGAATCTGAGTGGGATGAAGAACTACAGACTAACTTTCTGAGAGGTCTTCAGGCTCTATTAGAACTACTGTCAGCCATGCAGGTAAAACTTGTTATTGTTCCACTAATGTAAACTGAAGTTAGGACCTTAAGATTCAAGACTTTGTAACTAACCTGAAATGGAGACTTTTTAATTTACCCAAAGTGAAGACTTTTCCATTTCAGACTTTTTCTCTTTCTCAATCTAGCAGGTTTTGTACAGTTTTAATGAATCTATTTAAAATTTTGTTTCCTTTTTTTAAAGGGAATGGACTGCGTTCAAAGACAAACTGGTCATCATCAAGAGTTTGAACCTGAGTGGGAGGGTGCTTTTAATTTACAGTTGAAACTAGATGTTAATTTGGTATTATTTGCTGATTGGTGTTCTTCTAATGTAAGTACTAGACAGTCAGTTCAATAGCTAGAAATGAAATGAAGACAAGCAACACGCCATACAGTGTGCAAGTAACTTACTTTTGGCAGGACATCGGCATTAGTCTACTCTTTTTGATTTCTGATTGAAATTTGATTGTAGAAGAAGGTTTTATTAATGCAATGTAGAGGTTATGATCATGCAGTATAATATATGATCTAATTGATGTATTTTATTATAGAAATCAGTATTATTAAGAGCCTATAAAGCTACATTAGATGCTCTGTATAAACATGAGAGACGTAGAGAAGTACCACCTAAAGAAAAATACGAAGGTACATTAGATTACGCTACTGTGGGTTATTTTCTACATATTTTAACTTCTCAGGCTAATATCTGCATGCATGAAAGTTTGTATGAATATAAATGAAAACAAATTCTAATCTAATGGAACAAAGGAAGACTTTCATTAACATATTGCAAGAAATGTGCTGGTGTTGTTTAACCTATTTGTTTAAAACTTAAAGCACAGGGTACTGATGGACTGTCCTATTTAGAAGAGTGAGAATTCTACTGTAAGTTATTTAGGTATAAATTGTTTATTGTAGTTGGTAGCCATTCTGTACGCTGTATAAAATACGATGTTTCCAGTCAGCCTGTTTCTATACATTTACCTCTTACCAGATTCCTAGCAGGTTGGTCTAGTTTCTATTTCAACTACAACATAATCACATATTGATTGAGCTTTATTGCTAGTCATGGCTTTAGATTACTTGAATTTGGGCATGATCTCTAATTGGCAACAGTAAGGCCAAAAAACATAGTCTGTTTTACAGGCCTAAAGATGCCTGATTGTTGCCTTAATATTAATTGTACATTAAATTTGTGGTAATAAATAATAAATGCTTTCGGTCGCTCCAATTTATTCCAGTTGAAAATCTAAAAAAGCGGTTATAGATAATAAATAATAATTTCGCCCTCTCGCCCCGATTTTTGAAAAAAAGACCTGTAAAACAGACTATTTATTTTGTTTGGGCTAATGTTGTTTAAGGTTGCAAATGGTCGGAAATCGTAATAAAATTGCCCCTGAATCGTAGCGTTATAATTAAAACATAATATCGTCATGATTACATGGATAAAAGAATCTCTGCAGTACTTATTGTATCATTACAGCTTTACATGTTCATCTAGAGAAGTTTGCTTTGAGTTTTAATTCACCAGAGTTAACTACCTTGTTGGAGGTAAGTACACAGCAGTTACATAATATCCTTACTTCTCCTATACATGATATTAGTGTTCCAGTCATTTGATTGATGAAAAACTTAAATCAATTCTAAAACTAGCTTTGTTTAACCCCAATCAAATAACTGTGCTTCTTAAATTTTGTGAAACAGGGCTCTGAGGTTAATATTACAAATGCAATACTGTAAGGAATACTGAAAAGGAATGGTTAATAAAAGTGAATTTATGATTGATTTTGATTGACCAATATCATCATGTGTATGCTTTTATGAAATTATTTTGATCTATTTTCAGATTAAAGCAGTAGTTCCACTTCTGTTCCTAAATATATTTAAGCAATAAACTGTTACCCTATGTCGGTTATGATCGTATATCAGGACAAAGGTTGGCTGGGAAATTGAATAAATTTGCATCAGTCCAAGGGACAATAGCTGATGTAAATATTTATTTTTATTATAGATGCGTTTAGAACCTGTAGATCTTATTGAAGCACCACTACGTACTCAAGTTATGATAGCTCAAACACAAGCTGGTATGTGGAGACGAAATGGTTTCTCACTGTTAAATCAGGTAATTTATTGGGTTTTGAGCTAATGATAATTATTCAAGGGTTTGTAAACAGTTTTTGAAGTAAAACTCCATTCATTCATTTTATTTTGTTAACTGGTTTTCAAACCTTTTTATGTGTATCAGGAACACTGATATCATCAATTTGCACCATTTCATCTTTTAGTTAGATTCCTGTGGATCTGGCAATTCCACTGAAATTAAGCGTTTTATGATCAGAAAGATGCTAATCATTTATCATATAGCAGAGGAAGGTGTGTTCCAAATATTTAAAGAAAAAGAGAAAAATGACAATCTCTATCATTCTGATTGTCTGTTATTATTTTTTATCTATCTAGATCCATTTCTACCAGAATGTAAGATGTCGTAGTGAGATGTATGATAGAGATGTTATAATGTTACAGGTAGTTATCTCCCTTTTCTCAAAATATTCCAGAGTTCATTTAGCAGAAAATTATGAAATGTTTTTATTTTCTATTATTGAATGATCGACTGCTGTTAAGTTCTGGATCTTGGCATGCGATCTCAGTCGGTGACTCTTTTGAAAAAGCACTGAAAAGATAACTGAATGCAGCACACAGGTGTCACGTCTTTGATCCTAAAACTTATACCATTGTATAAGCCAAATTCATAGAAGATTTAGACATAAATATAATTTCGTTTATCCAATCATTTTGCGTCAGAATAATAATATTTGGAATAGTCAAACTTGAAATTCCATTTCCTTATCGTAATCTAATGCTGATTGTTAATGACTCAGAAATATAGTTAATATATTTCTTTGACAGATTGGAGCTTCGTTGATTAACAGCAGTGATTTTGTGGTCCATATTCTCAATAAATATGGTCTTCTTAACTGGATCAAGTAAGTTCTTATGTTCTTTTTATGGCATTTCATATGTTCTTTTAAAACATGAGATTTTTCTGTCAATTTTTCATCACTCAAGGCTGAACCTAAACTAAACATTTAGAAAATTATGCACCATTTATTGAGAGTCATTTCAGCAATGATTGTTTATTTTTTAATCACACAATTTAATCAGGGTTGGTTCAGAGGCCCAAATATTTGTCTAGCAAGCTTTTTTACCTAACCATGATTATTCAGGGTTTATAATCTTAGACAAATAATAGTAGTAACTCTTGGACAATTATATTTATTTCTTGTGATGGTTGAGGTTTTTTCAAACTTGGAAATGATTTCTTATTTCTAGGCTGGACTATGATATACCTGGAGGTCAAGGTCAAGAAGATTCCTTACGACAAACCATAATGTTAGCTGAAGAATTCTTCAATTTATTGATAGTTATATTAGGTAAGTAAGGAAAGGGAGACGATTAGTTATAATTATTGTTATGTGCTTCCATTGTGTGCTGAATTTTATAGAATGACCAAACCTAATACTGTGAAAAGGAAAGGATGATATTGCTAAAGATATATTTTTTTAAAGGAATACACCCTTCTTGCGATGAACATAATAATCTTTATAATCAGATAAATCAATAAAACTAAGTAATTATTGGAAAAACACTTTAAATTTCAGTTTAGATTTAGTTATAGTATATTTTGTATTTTAGAAGAAAGATTTCTACCAGGAGTAGGTCAAGTCACTGATAAAGATGTAGTTAAAAGGGAGATAATTCATCAGTTATGTATCTCGCCTATGGCCCACAGTGAATTAACTAAAGCCTTACCAGAAGATGTAAGTATGATCTGACACAGTTTTTGTAGGGCCTAGGCCTTTTGTTATTCAGACAGTACATTTAACCCAGGCCTCATGTGCTTATGATATGTGCTTAAAGGTTAAGATAATTAGATACATTAACTATGGAAGTCTAATACTTAAATCCTGTAATATGAAGCAAGTGTTATTGCCTGATAAGTGATTGATCTATTACCTATTGTCCTATGATGTGTTATTTCAGGCAAATCATGAGACTGGTGTAGAAGATGTTGTAAAAGATGTAGCTGACTTCAAGTGAGTAGGGTCTATTATACCAAAATTATTAGCTGCATTGACAGTTAAAGGTTCATGAATTTAGCAGCTGAAAGATCTTCAGCTACCCTGAACACTTTTCAGAATGGCATTCTCTATAAGATAAAAAACAATATCATGGTATCTTTTGACCAAAATAACTCCCATATAAGCTTTTTATTCTTAGTCATATAAGAATGATTGCTGCATTAAGATATTACCTTCAGATTTATCAACAAACATAATGCCCTATTAGTAACATTAACATATACACCATAATGATAATTTGTATTGTAGAAAACCAAGTGGTAAAGGAAAGGGAAAATATGAATTAAAAGAAGAATTCTATGATAGTTATTGTCCATTTTTCTATCATTATTCCAAGGCAGAACAAATTAAGGTAATTTCTAATCTCTCTATTGCTAAATAGCATCAAACACAATGAGTTCAACTCAAAGTCCACATTGAATTGATAACACAGTTTTATATGATATACTACTCCTGATTGTTATTGTATACAGCAATTCTTCTCAACAGGTGTTGAATTCCTCCCCAAGGGACAATGCGGAAGACCATGGGGAGGTATAATTGCCAGGGGGGGACATGGGGAGGAATCGTCAGATTGGGTAGGAAATGGAAGGCAAGGTGATTTTAAATCCATCCATGGTTAATCGTTGAATGATTTTTTCGAATGAAATATGTTTCAAAATGTCTGATTTATTTGGGAGTAATAGATTTTGAAGAACTTTTCAGGGGAGGAATGGTTTCACTGAGGTTGAGAAGTATATTGTATACTATTCCTGAGTTTTATGGCATATAGTGTATGAGAATTTACCTGAAATATAAGTTACTTTGTTTTAATTCACTTTTCAGTCTGAAGACGCTCAAAGAAAACGTAAAAAAGCAGCAAACAAAGATCAAAGTAAGTATTGTTTGACAGGTGAGATGGGCTATCTAGATACAATACTGGATGTTCTAAAATAAGAGCCTACCCTACTTTCCTCATCATATACTAAAATTGATACAGATAAAAATTTATTCAAAGTTCTGGTACTGGTGAAGACTATTTAAATATATTCAATGCTCAAATCAACCTCTCTATGTGCTCGATTTTCTTTACCAGATTTTTGTTTCATTATTGCAGGTCTGCCCCCACCCTTTCCTCCGTCGCTTACCAAACAATTTCAACCAATGGTTAACATCCTGCAGTCAGAAGTCATGATCCATGTATTTCAAATTATATTAAAACGTACTGCTGCAGCACGATCGAGATCTTGGTCCGAGCCACAGTTTGAAAGGGTAGGTAACTCATGTATCTTTTCAATTATATTAAAACGTACTGCTGCAGCACGATCGCGATCTTGGTCCGAACCACAATTTGAAAGGGTAGGTAACTCATGTATCTTTTCAATTATATTAAAACGTACTGCTGCAGCACGATCGCCTCTTGGTCCAAACCACAATTTGAAAGGGTAGGTAACTCATGCTGTGTTAATGACATTAGGGGGTCGCTTGTTCTGTACTTTCGGTATTTATGATATCATATGGATGTTAAAACAAGTTGTGACAGGGTTCATAACATGTTCCATATATATTGGAAAAAAAAGTTGGACCTGATGAGATCTTTGTTTATTTCCATCAATAAATGAGATTTTTTTATTTTAATATTTGATGTATAAACAGTGTATTTATCTATTGTAGGTTCTGTATCTAATAGGTTTAGGTCTACATGAACAAGTTCGAGCTATCCATGAAAACAATCCACATTATGATTTTATATCTATTGCTATGAGAGGTATGTCTAATTTTCTTTACTTGTTTTTTTACTGCAATAGTCATCTTTTTGTATCATGAAAGTTTGTGAAGGAAGCTATTTGATTGGATTGTATGCTAGTGAATACAGCCAATCAGAGGCCTTGACAGAAAGTCTATGAACACAAAGCTATTCTTTCTGTTGAGGACTCGTAGGGTTAAATCCAACCAAATCACTGCATTCCATGATACGAGAAAAGTGGCTATTGCTAAGTACGAACTTCATAATAGCTTGACATTCAGCCAATGGTTACGAACTCAGATTTTTTAAAGAATTTTGATGCTGTTATTTCAGGTGACCACAGTATTTATAACTTGTTAAAATCACTGGTAAACCATGCTAACCTCACTCAGGATCCATCTAAAGATCTACTAGCTTGGGTTCTAACTGTGAGTATTTTAAAAAAACTCTTTAACATGCTAGAGGCCTTTTTTTTGAAAACTTATATAAAAGTTGACATGGCCTAAAAATTATCTTCCTGGGTGTTATATTATTTTTTTTTATTTTCATAGAAATTTCGAGAAGTACGTCTGCTAAAAAATCCTGACGAATCTGCTGGATTGGAACATGTCAGTTCTTCAACAGATTTGGCAGCGGAGGCAGAGAAGAAGAAGAAGGCTGAAAAGGCTGCAAAGAAGCGAGCCAAAGTGATGGTGAAGTTAGCCCAGATGCAGAAAGCTTTCATCAAGGATAATACAGAATTGTTTGAAAGTATTTGTACAGAAATGAAATCTGCCGGTTCAGATATGGATGTCAGGTACAACTTTTTCTTTTTCCCTTATGGTAGCACCGGGGTTGAAAGCTTACAGGCTAGATGTTCCAAAAAGTCTTAAAGCCAAGGGATAAGGTCTGGGGCCACACTCAGAGCTGTTCACTGTTCTAGTATTATTTTGTTTTAATGTCGAAAACCAAGCTAATGTATCACCTAATTTTACAAATGTGCTTTTCCAAACAGTATCATAAGAGATAAGCTATATTTGTTTTATTTCTAGTGAACCCTCACACACTGATTTCCCAGTGGCCTTAGGTCAAGGTCGTAATAACGTAGCAACAGCCAGTCCTACCATGGCAACATGTATTTTGTGTCAAGAAGAACAGGAAGTGTGTGTAAATGGTAAAGCCATGGTTTTAGCTGCCTACATACAGAGGTATGATAATGATTATCCCTTTAGACTCAAAAGCTGCTCTGGCTACACTAATCTAAGAAACCTGAAGGTACAGGGTTCAATCCTGACAATCCCTCAACAGTTGGAAATCAAATAATCATTGCACACTGCCCATCTTTATTTACCCAATTGGTTAAAATGTTGGTGACTGTATATTGTAGGTCGTTTCACTATTGTCAGCTTGTTTATGTCACTTGCAAAGGTGTGGAAAATCTCCGTAAAAGAGGGCCTAGTTTTTCTGTCACTACACCAGGCAACAACTGTTAAAATAGCTATCAAAGGCTGGAATAGAGTCAGATGTTTTGGACTTTTTCTACTTGTGGTTTGATTATTATCAATTTATATTTCAGATCAACAGTATTATCTCAGAACAGAACTAAACATCTAGAAAATGGGGACGAGTTTGACCCACTTTATATGACCTCTGACCTATTTACAGGAACTAAAACTGGGTCATGTGGTCACATTATGCATCATGAATGTTGGCAAAAGTAAGTACTATGTAAGGATCATCTTCACAATGTCAATCTATTACGAACTTCGTACTTGTACCTTGACTGCTACCGCCAACTTACTAATTCTTGCATCAATGAAGTTTGTAAATGAATTGATTTCATTGGCTTGTATGCTAGCAAATACAGCCAATCAGAGGCCTCGACAGAAAGGCTTCATGGTGAATGAAGTATTGAAACTTTATTTCAATTAATTTTCAGATACTGTGAGATGATAATAGCTGAAGAGAAAAGAAGACCATTGAGATTTCGTCAAGCTTTAAGTTTTGATATTGATAAACAAGAATATCTATGTCCACTGTGTGAATCATTGAGCAATACTGTGATGCCTATTGTCCCTTCCCTTCATAAACTAGTTACTCATAAGTAAGTATAGTTGGAAATTTACATATTAAAGGGACAGATTCACCATCTGTTATCCTGACAAATATGGCCCTACCCAGTTCCTCTGACGTGATATTTAGTTGGGATACCTGAAGTGGGTTTAGGGCCAGACACATAATGTTTATTTTCATGAAAGTTGCTACAGTCCAAGTTTGGGTTGCTAGTTTTTGAGAATTTTCACCATTACAAAAGCTCAATTTGGCATAACTTTTGGAATCTATACTGAGCTGAACCATTAATAAGTCCATGAAGACATTCCCGTATATTCTAGGATGTCCCTGTGCCCCTGAGGTACCACAATACAGTCAAGGGGTATTCTTACAAAAATTATAAGTCATGGGGTAAGTTTTTCTACAGCTCCGTTTTCGAGAATGAAGCCTCAGAGAAGAAGCTTTTATTTGAATTTGATTTCCCCATTGTAGTATCAATGAAGTAGATTTAACATTTGATGACTGGTTAGATGGTATACAGAAAACAGTAGAGAATAGTATACAAAAACAACATGATCAACAGTCACAAGGTATGAAGACATTTATTTCAGCTCCATTACAGTAATGAGGACAGATTGTAACACAGTGCTTCAACTGTAGGAACTGGGTGAACCTAGTCCACAGGTCCATACCCCTGAGAGGCCCCCAAATCCTAAAAAATTATAATCAAACTGAGCAACCAGTAATTCATTTATGAGTGAAATAGCATTAACTACAAACTGAAAATCTTGATATCTTGCATTAACAGGCATTAAATTGACTTACAGAGGGGTCTCAGAGTGCAGGATAGAATATTATGTTGAAAAAATTCCCTGGGAATAGCCCTCAACCAACTTAAATAATAGATTAGATTATTAACTATACGTTAGTAATATTATTGATGTATATTGTTAATTGTAGAAGATTCCTTGTTTATCCAGCCATGTCCTATTAGTACTATTACTAGAATGATGGCAGAGAGTGTAGCCAAGAACTTCCAGTTACTCTGGGAATATGTTTATGATGATGCTAGGTAGGTTGGATTTTCTACTTCAAAAAAAAGCAAGCAAGGATATTCAACCTCTGAAAGAAGTGGATAAATCTGCCGTAAACCCACTTTATTTAGTAGAAGGCAAGACAATGCAGAAAAGAAAAGAATGTCACATATTTCTTTCTGAATTTTTTCAAAAACATGGTGAAGCAAAATTTGAACACAATTTCTCAATGAAAATGATTTAAATGAACTCAGTGATTGATTATTGATTATTTTTCAGTGGTTGTTTTTCTGAAGGAATGAGAGAAATGATGAAAAAGTTTGCAAGAGATGTTTATTGTGTAAGTACCATGGTTACTGACATTTTTATTTCATTTCATAAGAAAATGTATCATAGTTTAGATACCGGTCAAAGGCACACTGCTACTGTTTTGATGCAGCACAATGTCTTTAAATTTTTAAAAGAAGTCTGAAGGTATTAATATATTCTGCTCTTTATAAGCTAAATGATTTACCAATATTTATCCTTATGATTCTTAATCTATATTTTACACATATCAATTTTTGAATCTTTGAGGGTGCAGTACACTTTCTCTTTCCTTTTCACTAACACCTGGCTTGAATTGGCTTCATCATTGTTTTCTTTCTGTCTTGAATGATACCAGATGACTGTTATCTCTGCATTTATATTTATAGTTTGGTTTAGGAGTAGAACCAGATGATGAAAATGGAAGAGTACCAATCATGGCTTGGTCAACTTGTGCCTTTACTATACAATCAATAGGTATATAATCCAGTTCTCTAACTTTCATTTAGGGCTGCAACGATACACAAAGCCACAATATGATACAGACTTCGTGTAGCCCTGGAGTCTAACTGTAACGGTTGAAAAATCTACAAAAATTATTACTAGTATAAGAATTAATTTCATTTTATTTCAAAGCATCAGTTATTTTACCTGAAAAGGTATTTTTTGGGAGAAAATTAACACTTGTTAGATATTTAAATTTACATATTTCACTGTACTTCCGCTGTTTCAGAACAAACATTAGAACTAGAGAAGAAGGCCCTGTTTGATGCTGTACCATCACGCCAATCAGAGTTATTAAGTTCTCTAGTGAAATATTCAGCTGTATGTAGTCAAGTGATGCCAACTGATACAGTTAAACAACATTGTGTTAGATTATTAACAGGTAATGTCTTGCTTTCTGTTTTATTATTTGGGAGCTATGGTGGCTCAGTCAGTTAGATGCTTGCTTGCTCCTGGGTTCAATCTTGCCATAGGTCAAGATAATACCTTCTAATATTTCAGCCCAGTTTCTCCCCGTCAGCTTTGCAGGTTGGAGGGACTGGAAAAAGAGTCTAGTTGTCGGTTGGGACAATAAACCGAGGCCCTATGTGCTACAGGCTGTGCCCGTTAAAGATCCCTCAAAAGAGTAGGCTAATGCCACTGTCCTGGCAAAATTACCCTCACTTCACACTTCACTAGCTTGATTAGGTGCAGTTTTATGACCTACAACTCCATCCATTCATTTCATTTTCATTCATTTCTAATGTTATGGATGCTGTATTATTCTTGTTTTCTTCAAACAAACAAATTTATTGTGATTTTTTTTCTGATTTCAGCCTTAATTCCTCAAGAGAAGTTAAAATTAAAATCAGAATGTCCGAGTATAGTGGATCTTGATATGTTCCATTATTTAGTGATACTGGGAATGACTCTACCTACTCTGTATGCCGAGCAGCAACAATCTTCTATCTCTACTATACCATCAGGTGGTTTAAATGATAATCATGCTTTACATTTAGTTTTAACAGCTCATCTCGTACAGATATTACTCACTTATAATCCGCAACCTAATGGTATGTAGCATTCTTTTTCATAGCATTCGTTTTTATAATTTCACGGAGTGACATTGACTCTTGAGGATCACTTGATTCTGCACATTTGGTTTTTGTGGAATCAACAGAACTTTCAATAAAACAAGGTGAACAGAGTAAGTCAAATGGTGGAGCTGGAAATAGATGGAAAAATTTTGAATGTGACATATTCGCTTAAATTCCGATTGATTGGGGCAGAATTAGAGCAAACGGAACCTGTTCTGAACTCTCTTCTGAACTCTCAAATCGAGTGCCACCTATGCCAATACAACATATAGCGTTAAGAATGCTAGAACTTGTAGGACAGGAAATGCATTTGAAGGCGTTCAAAGTATATTTTATCCAGCATTTGTAAATTTATTAATTATTTCGTTAATTTTACAGAAGATATGGAGATGGAGGGAGATCAGGAAGGAGATGATTGGTTACGCATATATTTTAATCTCAGAGAGGATGCTGGGTAGGATTCTTTAGATACTTTTTAACGAGGATTGCTTGAAACAATATTGCTTATAATAATTTACAAAAGAAAAAAATGAAATGATTTCGATGAATTTGAGTCCAATTTAAAAAAATTTATTTAAATGTTTCAACTTCTGAGGAATAATCCATCTTATTTTCTATCTTTCAGCATCATGTCTGAGATTTCTCCATCACCATGGCAACTAAATCAGTATATTCGTAGAGCTGTGAGTCCGTTTCTACGCTGTGCTACTATATTCTATCATCATTTAACTGGTATCCCTGCTCCACCAGAACTACAAGAGACTAGTACTGGTAGGTTTTATCTTGGTGTTTCAAGTGTAGTTTGTGGGCTGGGACTGGCTGGATAATCAAAGCATGTCATCAGATCTGCTGCAGTCTACATGTGTGAAGGGTGAAGAGACATCTGAGCTTAGTAGCTTAGTTTAGGCATTACAAAATAGTTTGAGTTACATATCCAAGGGAGTGGATTTTTTTCCAAAGACAGTAATGTAGAATTTAATGTGCTGTGTTTATGTTAATGTGCTGTTTATTTTCATGTGTTATGTTTATTTTCATGTGTTATGTTTATTTTCATGTGTTATGTTTATTTTCATGTTATGTTTATTTTCATGTGTTATGTTTATTTTCATGTGTTATGTGTTATGTTTATTTTCATGTGTTATGTTTATTTTCATGTGTTATGTTTATTTTCATGTGTTATGTTTATTTTCATGTTATGTTTATTTTCATGTGTTATGTTTATTTTCAGAAGATAGTAATGTAGAATTTGATGTGTTATGTAAATATCTATCCCTACCTACAACTTTAACATGTTTATTAGAATCCAGTGGTAAAACCATATCAGCTCTTATACAAAGGTTAGTCATCTCATTTCAACTTAATCTTAACTAAACTTACCCTAGATTTCTGTATTTGGCTATAATATTTGACCATTTATTTCATAAGTCTAGAATTTTGATAATTTTTGTCCAAAGAAGAGACCAATTTACTGAATGAATGATATCTGTCAATCAACTAGTGCCCCTCCCACTCTAACTGTATATTTATTGTGTTTGTGTTGTCACTATTTAAGCTGGTGTAAAAGCAGTAAAACGCAAGAGAGAATGACCGCCAGCAGCCAACCTGTGATATCTTACCCTAGACCTGTCAATCAACTAGTGCACCTCCCAGATGATTACAGTCAACTTATTAACCAAGCTTCAACTTTCACGTACGTTTTATGTCAATCAACATTGTCTCATATTATAAACTATATAATAATAATCATGGTTAATGACTATATTTTAATGCATCTCCTTGTGTTGCATAACATTATTTTTTACTATTTGCTATGTGGACACTCCATCTGCTAAAATAACTATAATGTGTACGCTCTATTATTGGGGACAGTTATATGTATGTATCATCTAGATCTCTTATCTATCAAAAGTTGGGATTTCACCCAGCCATCAGCTACTCAGACAAGCACTAAATACAAAAATTGAGGTATTTGAACCTACATTGCCTATGGGCTTAATGTTTTCCCGTGAGCCGAATGTAAGACAGGCCATGTCACCTGGGTGTATTGGACCTAATTCTGGCCCATGTAAGATAAATAGTTTATTATTATTATCTCAGAAAATGTAATAAACTATCAATAAAGTCATACCAGCGCATGCATGAGAATTCTCTTTGATATTTTGTAGTTGTCCTAAATCTGATGGTGATGACAGTCAAGCACCTACAATGTGTTTAGTTTGTGGAACTACTCTCTGTTCTCAGAGTTATTGTTGTCGTACCAATATAGATGGCTTACAAACACCGGTCGGGGCAGCCACAGCACATGCTCATTACTGTAATGCAGGAGTTGGCATCTTTTTAAGGTAAGTGCTGGTCACTGAGAGTAACATTGAGGGGGTCTGTAGCACAGTCAGTTAGAGCATTGGAAACTTTACATGACATCATTCTTGGTTACATCAAACAAATGGTGGTCTTGGGTTCTACTCTTGGCTGATCTCCTGGAATAAGTCATCTTTCCTTATTATTCCTGTTGACCAAGCTGTAAATGGGTACAGATAATCCAGGAAAGGTCAATGCCGAGAGGTTTGGCCAAGAACAAGTGGTTGAAAGGATCTTAATAACTGTATAAAAATGAGTTGTTTCTTTTTATTTTATCTTGAATTACCTGAATGTCTATATTCTACCACCAGGGTGCGTGAGTGTCAGGTATTATTACTATCAGGACGTATTAAGGGATGTTTCGTTCCTCCACCATATTTAGATGATTATGGTGAAACAGATCAGGGATTGAGGTAGGTCACTTTTATTTTTCAATAATATCAAGAGATAATGGGATCTTATTTTGAATATCCTGTGCTAAGAAGTGGCGTAAACTGAGACAGGTCTACGTTTGACCCCCCACACTCAAATTCTTGAATGTGGCCCCCTTGAAACCAAGATTGTAAAGGCATTCCCTGAGAAGCGATTTTTCCTTACTAATACAGTCGACCCAGCAGTTAATGGGTACCAATAATCTGTTGAAGTTATTGTCATGAGAGGTTGCCAAACTAGCTGATAGATGTTCAATGCTTATGATATCTTAATAAATTTGAGGCAAAGCTGAAGGCTATAAGTTTTAATGTTCATAAAGATCCATTCATAGTTAGTTTACATCAGACGAGAGGGAGAGGGGTTATATGGGTGAAAGCCTTTTCTCCAATCCTTGCGTAATTATGTGAATAGATTATTGTTTAGAAAAAATCTATGGGTTTCAGGTATGGGTTCTATAAATTTTTCTATTGTCTATTTCAGGCGTGGTAACCCTCTTCACTTGTGTCCTGATCAATATAAACACCTTCATTCAATCTGGTTTAAACACTCGATACCTCAAACTATAGCACATAGTATCCAGTTTAATAAAAGTTTCCCTGCTATAGACTGGCATAACCTTTAATTGAATCCATAGAAGCACAGACTGGGGAAACTGAAGAACTTGTCAGGAAACATTTGGTAAAATTTTGAAACAGAGATCTATTGATACACTTATTGAGGCACTGTCTTGCTCTTGGGGCAACTGATGGCAGCAGCATGGTCAATGCTTTGAACTAATCTCACAGAATCATAGGATTGGGAAATGTGGTTTCTGGCAATTTGGAAGACTTGGTTAAAGATTAAACTCTTAAACCATTGCAGGAAAATTGAAGCTCTGATAAACAATTTTTAATATTTTGTTATAAACGTGGATATCCTGTAGTTAAAATAGAATCATAAAAGCACTGGCCAGGGAAGTGATGGTTCCTATAACTGACTGTTATAGTAGCACTACCTGGAGATCCGTTGGTGCCTACTAAAGTGTTGATGACTCTCACTGGAATAGTAACTATGTTATCTGCTTATAATGCTTATAGATGTTTTGTGTTAGGATTTTTCTGAGGGTGACTAGACATGCCATCTCTGATCTAACGACGTTGATATTTATCTCAGTAAAAGAAATCTGAAGTTAATGTTTTTTGTAGCCATATTGGCCAATCAGATTTAATAAAATCACATATTTAAGATGCTGGATGTTAGTAGCTACAAACTCTCGCTGATTCTGTAGTCATCAGGAAATCAAAACCTTACAAAATTGATTAAAAGTTGTTTTTACAAAGATAAAAACATTTAGTAGTCCTGTACAATTTTAGAAAACTTGTCCATTTTAAATCAAAGCCATTTATGTCAAAATTTTTGGAGATAAGTAAAGATTCTGACACAATGCCTGAAACCAATAGTAATTTTAAAGACAATTGAAAGATCTCAAAACTTTCATTATTTATATATCCCTTGAAAATAATGGTATATACCATTAGTAGTAGTTGAAAATGCAAATTAATTAAAACTGAATGTAACTATGTCAAATCCTTCATGTATTTATTTACATTCCCTTTTACAAACAAATCCCAGAATTTACAACATACATGTGCTTGAAATCAAAATCACATTTTCACAAAATTGCCTTTAGGATTGTTTGAAGTTTTTTCTGTTTTTTTTTTGTTAGCAGTAAATTATTTAGTTCTTTTTGATTTAATTAAGTAATTTATTTTTTTGGAATGAATCTTTTTTTAGCATGAATTTTGATTTTGATATTTAGATATTAAGAGAATCAACTTGTTTTGTAGGATTGATCATTTATGTTAATTGCTGAACTTGTATTCACGGTGAAAATTTCAAATTTTTTGTAATTTTTTGTTCTCTTTAAAATCGGCAACACTTTGGTAATTTTGTCAACTGATCAATTCTGTGTATTGTATAAATCCTGGCATCCCAAATCAATATCTCTGCACAGGTAGTGCCATGCTTACTGAATGAGTCACTGACAGTCATAAGTAGGCAGACAAAATGGTTACTCTGCATTAAAACACTTAGTGCAATGCCTTTGTGTACTGACTGAGTCATTGATTATGTTGTTCAATTTTTTCTGTGAACAGTAACTCTAGACTGAGTTTAAATTCCCTGTAGACTTAAGAGTATAATATTTGTTATCTGTGATCTGTTGGCTTGTTTCCTCCTGCAGTCAGTGATATTAATACACAAGAAACTAGTAATATATTATACCTATTGTGCACATATCTCCCCTACCTAAATTGACAGTTGACTTCATGTATTTATGTTTTAAATCACCTTCACAATGTTAAGCTATTATGAACTGCATCTAATACCTTGACTGCAATAGCAACCTTTCTTGTATCACAGAAGCGTGTAAATGCAACACTAGCGAATACTGCTGTGATACAAGAAATGTGGTTATTGCAGTCAAGGTATTAGAAGCATATATTGTGAAGATGGTTTTCTATATGATGTGTACAAATGATTTTGCACAATATACCTGTCTATAGTATTGTTAGATATGAAATATATGTATATTGCATAAATTTACATAATGTAATTGAATATGTACATAAATTATTAAGGAATAATTTAATATGTACATAATGTATTCATAATTGCAGTGCTTATTGATAATTTATTTGTTTTGTTGGGTTTGATTGCTTTGATATTTTAGACAGAATGTAGTTCTATTTTCATATGTGCCTCCCTTTTTTGGTTCTTTTCCTTATGATATTTTTCTACTTGTAGGTGGTAGGGCTACAATGATTCTTCTTCGAAATACTATCCTTAAATTTAACTTGTTTGATCATTTTATTATGACAATTTACGCTTTTCTGCAGATTGTTTTTAATTCTCACCTTAAATGATTTTTTTAAAAATACAAAACTGTGAACATTATTTTGAAATTGTCATGGGAAGGGCAAGCCTTCGAATGTCCATTTATATGAGAGTTGATTCCAGAGCTGTCAGGCTACTGTAATACTATACTCATTAAAGGATAAAGCCATAAGGGAAAATATGGCTAATTTTTAGTTTTCAAGCTCTTCGACATTGACAGTATTATTGCAGCCCTCTTTGTTATGATAAAAACAAGAAATAGCCCAATGGAATTTTAGATTGTTATGTTAAATACTATATAGGGTTAGTTTGTAAATAAATATTCTAATTATTCTTTTCCTTGTCTTCTCATTGATTTAAATAAGACACTGTCGAGAGAAGGGATGTCAAAAGATTATTCCACCATCTAAAACATCATGTAGATCTAAATTTCACATAGAGCATACTGTGTGACGTTGCCCACATCTAATAACCTGTCAAAACTATTCCTGAATCTGAGTCATTCCTGGGAGCCACGGTGACTGAATGAGTTAGATGTTTGCTCCCGGCATAGGTTGAGATAATACCTTCGGATTTTTCCCCTTATCAGTTATGTAGGTGAGAGGGACTGACATGGAACAAGTGTCTAGACAATAAACCGAGGCCCTGTGTGCTACAGGCTGTGCACGTTAAAGATCCCTCGACAGTTGGAAATCAAAAAAGAGCAGGCTAATGCCACTGTCCTGGCAAAATTTACATCATTGCACCCTGCATGGCTTTGCCTGTCTACATTAGCCAACATGGTGCAGAAAAGTAGGACATAAACCTCCATTCATTCATAGTTATTCCAGAAATTGAGAGTCAAGAAACTGTAAATTTAACCCTCAATTCCAAATGCGAAAGGCAAATGAATACGTGGGAGTATCATGATCCTGACAATTAAATTCTGAAGAACGTGTTCCCCTGAAAATGGAAGAATCTTCAATTCTGGAAAAAAAAAAAAACCAAAATTGTTAAAATTTGATGATGCCATTTATGAAGAAATATTTACAAACAATGAACATGGGAAATAAATATGAAGATATAAATTATTATAAACACAGAATTACAAAACTTTAAAGTAGAAAAACTTAGAAATCTTAAATATACCCATCATAATCCTCTCAATTATTGATTTTTTCTTGGTTAAATTCTAAAGAGTCATAAATTACACTGAGAAAATATAGATAATTTGTCAGAATTTTGACGGGTTATTTTGATGGAAGATGACTTTAGTAATGATATTAAGCTTTTTTACAAGCTAAAGCTCACACAAAGTTATGTATACATCTCCCTTGCAATGTGTTGGAGTAGTAGAAAATTACAGAATAAATTTGATCCCTTAAAGCAATATTGCAATCTGCCCTGACAGAAGAGATATATATATATTGATATATTATTGTTAAAAGAAGGCCTATTAGAAACAACATAACTTTCACCAATCATAAATAATACAATATTAAGAACATTGTTTGGTTGGGTTTGTTGAGCTAGTCAGAAAAGGCTTACTTACTATTTTCTCAGACATTTGACTAAGTCATTTCATGATATCTTGAGCATGGTGCAAGACAGCTCTACTGTTCACTCAAGTTTTCCTGATTCTGCCTTTTTGAATGTTTAAAGTAATAGTTATATCAAGTTATATCAAGTGAAATTTTCAAGGTTTAAGAAGTCGGCATGGTTACACCTAACATTAGCTGTCAGTCAAAATGTCATGTGATTGTGAAATTCTTAACTATTAAGTGATTCACTTATTGAAAACTTTACGCAATGCTGATTGGATGAAAAGGGGGTTATGTTCTAATGCTGGTTTTGGAACTTCAAATGAACTATTATTATGACAACCAATCAGATATCAGTATAATAATTAGTTACGATCGTAAAGTTATGATATTTCTGTCACCAGGCTAGAGGTTAGAAGATATATGACTAGTATACAATGATATAAAATATAAACAAAAAAATCTTAATAACAAAATAATAACCATCTTTTTACTCTAAATAAATTTTATACATAATTATCACAAAAAGTTTAAAAAAAATCTGAAATATGAGTTCAGCAGCGAAAATAGAAAACTTTTTCGTACAATTTGCCAATTTACAAAAAATCTTAAGCAAAATTGATTAGGAATTGTTTATAAAGGGTTTTGAACATGATTTATATTTTTCAATTTCAACGAAAAAATAAATTGCATAAGCTTAATAAAAGAATCTAAAACAAAATGATACAAAAATCTGTAAAGAACTCAGATAAATAATTTATAAATGTACAGAATTTGGAACAAAAAATATAAAATTATTCAAAATATATTGAAAGACAAAAACAACTACGAATATTGTCATCTTACTACAACAAGGGTATATTCCAAAAGAGATATTCAGCATATCTGGGGATACCTTTAAAAAGATCAGTTTATTTTATTTCAAGGTTTTAAATTGAAGGGATACGCATTAAACCTCTCATGCGTTGTTTACTACTTGAACTACCTAAAGAAAATAGTGAAATGTTTGTGTTTTGAATGGTTCCCCGATGTGCGCAAATATCTTTATTCAATGACAATCCAACATTAGTATCAACAACCACATCAGAAGACATCCTGTTTACACTTGTTGAGAATGATACAATTTTGAGGCTATATGCCTGGAACCCATAAATATTGCCCTACAATATCTTATATATCCCAAACAGCTCAGATTTTTGGATGATAATGAGTAAGACCCTTATTTCTGCACCTTTCTTTCAGAAACAATTCAGCACTGTCTAAAGTATTTCAAAATTAAATTTTAACAAAAAAAAAAACAAAAATAAAAATACCCACACATTTTACATTGCACTCATCACAACATTTTGTACATCATATAAAACTTTTAACCAAACTTATGGTATTGGGGTTCAGTGTTCTGATTGGTCAATCACTAAACATATGTCAAATTTAGTTCTAATAACCAAGCCTCTGATTGGTCAATCACTAAACTGATTTCAAATTCAGTTCAGCTAACCAATCAGATAATTGTATTTCTCTCAGATAAGTTTTTGCGAAATTAACTAGGGGAATTTGCCATCAGTTTGATCTGTTGTACCTATCTATGACTGATGATGGTGTTGGTTCCCAAAACACATGATTAGTGCAACTATGACTACACATAGTGATCTTAAATGTTAAAACCAATATTGAAGGCTTATATATCGAACACTGTTCTTAAAATTTGGCACAAGTATTCACCATTGAGTTTGAAATGTGGAAACAAATATGTGTAACCATTCATAATTTCAAGATTGGATGAAGAGCAACATGTTACACAAAACACCCCTTTATTACTTATGTGAACTCTTCTTCAGGAATAAAAAGGAAGAAAACTATGAAAGTACAGAAGAGTTCATAACTAACAAAGGGTGTCCAGTATATTACTGCCACTCAAGATCCAAATCTTGCACAACATATCTTGGTTTTGGTGCAATTATGTATATCAACAATGGGCAAACAAAGAAATAAAAAAAATTGTTCTTAAAGGCAAAATACAATGCATAAAAATACATCTTAAATACAAGCTTCAAATGTTGTTTGGAAGCAGTGATATTTTAACATTATATTTCAATGAAGTTGATGTAGAAATTTGGCCATTTTTTTATTCCTGAAACCTTTGTAGCCTCCTGTCCTACTTCTTTCCATTTCTGGTGAAGAATTTGGCTGAATTTTAAGGTATGCTCATTACCCATCCAGAAAGTTGCTGGAATAATATTCTGTTAAGTTATTCACTTGGAAAGCCATTTCCAGTTTTGGTCCCTGTTTTGGTTTAATGCGTTGATCTTAGTTATGCAACCTGTATTTTAATTACGATGTCACAACCTTTTCTTTTTGTGCAGCACTGTATAGTCATGTGACCACTGATATTATGACATCATGATTTTCCCCATTCGTTCCCGAGACATTTCGGCATTGCTGTTACTAACCCTTCGTCTTGTTCGTTTCATTTTGGCCATATCTTCTCCGAACACATCTCCTGTCCTTAACGCAGAAATCAAATCATCAAATTCTCCTGAAACGTAAGAAACGCATTTTCACTATCAAAATAGTGTTCGATACATCAATTGTAGAGCAGACACAATAACAAAGTAAGTACTACTTGTCAAACTTCTGTAGGGATGCAGACAGAAGTAGATCAGTTCTCTCATTAACAGGCTTCAGGTTCTGTATTAATATTTCATAGAAACATATTTTCAAGCAGGGAATGGCTACTGAATAAGTCATCTTTTCTCATTATGGCAGACAACCCAGTAGTTAATGAGTACAATAATTCCTAGTAAAGATCTACTAAAGATGAGTCGTTCTACAATATCGCATAGTAGTTATTCCTCCAGAACAAAGGTATGGCAGTCGTACAACTTAAAGAATATAACCCACAAAAGAGGATCGAAAATAAGAAAACAGACAACAAACCTTTCTCGTTGTCATTCTGTGATAATTTACTGTTGTTACCGTTGACGCTAGTTTTATCTGTATTAGTACTCGCTCGACGTAACAATATCCTCTTCTCTCGGTCTTTCTTCAACTGAAATATGTCATGATAAAAAGTTTTAAGACCTACTTTTTCTGCTCCTTTTTCCACAATTGATGACAAGCGCTGCATTGCAACATACGTAAAGGAATTGCCAAGACAATGGAGTTACCAATACAATAAATACCAGTTATAGAGGCTCTGAAAGTCCTAACCAGAATTTCCAGTTCCTCACAGGACCCTCTCTCCTCAAGTTTCTGGGCTTGGACATTGATTTTAAGGCTAATAAAATACAGAATGATTTTATCGCATTGTTGTCTGATGAGGAACCAAATTGTCTATCAGGCCATGGCATAAAATATTCTGCAAAAAAAAAGCATTCTGATTGTTAATCCTCAGCCTATTCTATTTTTACCTGTTCCTCCATTTTACTTCGTTTATCTTCTTCCTGTTTCTGTTGTCGGAATTTCTCGTTCTCAATCTGGGCATCGTTAAAATAATTCAGGAACGAATCAAAAATACCACAGAACTCTTCTGGTTGCATAGCAGTTGGATCTTCACCAAACGCCTTGACAACCATGTCATACTGAAATTTTGATTGACATATAAAATGGCTGACAACAGAAGTCTTCACAAACTTATTGCAGCTAATCAGGAAAATATTCAAATGGTTTTTAAAAGTGTCAGATCAGAATTACAAAACAAAGATGAAGAAAATAACTCTTTATTAATAAGTTTAATTAATATATTTTAATTAAAAAGATTGAAAATGTATTTCCATTTCTATTATCAAAACCACCTGTCCTGTTGATTGGTTTCATATCTGAAACATGTTTTGAAGGTAACGACTTTTTTTCAATTAGCTTTTATTTTCTCAAAATAAACCCTTAAAAAATAGTAAAATATCACATTCTCTCACCTTTTGTTTCATTTCACCATAAGAATCTTCCAACTCAGAGAAATTATAGGCAGCTACAGTACAGAAATTACTCATGGTGGTTACGAACTTATCAGGATGGCCGTCATACTGACTACGGAAAAATTCTACTTCCTTTTCTATATCTTTTAACCCTGATTTTAATGCCTTCATCTCTTCATCTAACTCTTTAAATCTAAAATTAAAGCAACAAATGTTTCACAAAATGAAATGAAATGAATGGAGTTTTACATCCTACTTTTCTGCACCTATGGCAAAAGAACTTTTGGACTCACTCTATCAATTTTGACATCTTTTGGATCTATAACTTATGGACTTTTATTTGAATATGTTGTTTTGGATTTTGGGTTTCCTTTTGCAGTTATGATCGTTAGTTTATTTATTCAGTATTATTCTTCATGAAGACTCCAACACACTGCAGTGTACAATAATGGGTACATTTTCTCCTCTTTGTCTTCAAACGGCCAAAGGATTTTGGAAAGCATTACAGGTGTCGGTTTTTTTGCTTTATTTTTTTGGGCTAGTGCTTTATACATTTCATATCTGACAACATACTTCTTTACACTGAGTTCAAGTAAAATTCATGAATTCTTTATGAAACTTACGTGACTTTGGCAGCATCTTTTATGGCACAAATATCTTGTTCTAGTTTCATCAGATCTGGGAACTGGAAATAGACATATTGTTAATTATATTGCTGTAATTGTGAGTTTTGGGTTTTAAATACCGGCAACAGCAACAGATTGGCCCTAGAAAGCATCAGTCAAGGTATCAGACAGTGCCCAGAGGAAATTACAGGAAGTTTTACGTTGATTCATTAAATAAAATCCACCGTCTCAGAGCTTGATGGCATGATATGACCAGTAAATATTCCTAACAGAGGAATGATTAAGAGAAAGCTAAGAGCACCTAAATTGTATACTGTATAAGGGTCCCAAAATCTTACCTTTTTTTCCAAGATGGCTTCTATGAGGTAGTGAAGTAAGGTAACATTTTTATTGATGCTTGATTTTGTATCCACCATTTTGTTTAAACTCTGAATTCTGAAACCAGACGCATTGCCTCGCTGACCTCTATTCATATAGTTACCAATAGCCAGCACAATTTCTAGTAATTTCTTTAATCTTCTACATCGGAATAACTGTTTACTGGCATCAAACACAGCTAGAAACATAAAATGAAGTGAAGGTCTACCTCTTGCTTTCTGAATGGATGCTGAGTGGGAAAGCCATGCAGTGTGCAATGAGTAAGGCTTAAGTTTGCTCTTATAATCAAGTAGAAAAGGTCAAGATGCCTTATCTATATGAATAACATGATAAGAACTTGTTTCTTTTAGAGTACTCTCCCAATTTCACCTATCTGCACATGAAAATCATTTCATTAAAAGCCACAGAAAAAAAAAATCATCAGAGAAGAGCTAGTACCAATTGTGCTACTGTAGAGAACTAAAACTGAGACGTACCAGATATTTTACCCTTACAATCCAGTCTTCTATCTTGAAACTTCTTTTTAAAATAGATAGCATTCAATCTTTGTTCATAATGTAGAATTCTAAAAATAAATAGACAACATATCAATTACAGACCACAGACAGTTTGGAAATTTGGACAAAATCAATTAGAACATGTTAAATATCCCAAATCTTTTTACCCTTTCATCCCTATTGACCGGTTGCATAATATATACCAAATATAGCTGCCATTACTAAGTGATGTCACACAACGTTAATGTCATACGCCTCGAGTTATATTACTTGGAGTTCAGGGTATATGGTTTATTATTATTACACTTAGGGTTCAAAGGGTTAAGATTTACATGATAATTAGCAAAGTATTAGAGTTTTCAAGACTTCTAGAATAATAATCGTTTGGTATAAGTTTGATTTATATATTAACTAGACATACTTGCTCATATCAAGTAAGAATCTATCAGCTCTAGCCATATTCTCTCTCTCATGACTGTGTTCATTTAATAACTGGATTTCTTCTACTGTAGGTACAAACTTTAATAACTGAAAAATATAAACATAACATTCAAATTAAAATGGCTTCTCCTTTCTATTTTATGTTCTATTTGGGTTAATTCAGAGGAAATTGAGTCTGAATGATGACATTCGCTGAGCTGTAAATAAAACTTGTTCAGTAGTCCTGCATGCTGTACTAGTCTCAAATCAAATATCATTTCCTACACTAAAACTGGTTGACCACCTACCAAGATAAAAATTCTTAAAACCATTGAATTAAATAATACATGTCACACGATCCTATTCCTTGCATGGCATTCCATCAGAAGAAACCTAGGAACATATAAGGAGTCACTGAACCAAGACCAACAAGACAAAAACAGCTAGTGAGAAGAATTTGCCTCTACCTGTTCGACCATATCCTTAGGTATATCTTCAGCTTCATCTACATTTAAAACAGCTTTTTTAATTTCTTCATTCGTTAATTTTAATTTCGATAATAAAATAGTACAATTCTGAGCTCGTCTGCCATCAATAACAGATAATTCGCGAACTTTCGGTGCGTGAGTTTTAGTGTCTTGTTCACCCTCCTCTTGTCTCTGATAGGCTGAAAAATTCTTCTCAAAATCACCCAGATCTAACGTATTGTATAACTGAAAGTAGAACATAAATTGAATTGAATTCATGGGTCATTAAAGGCATACTACCTTTAATAATGGACATCAAATTTAATTTCTTAAATATTCATCAGTTGACTTGTATAGCGTCATAAATATACAACAGAATCCCTGCATAATCAGATAAATCCTTAAAACTATATCATTATTCAAGAACTATTGAAAGATATTAATTTTATGTCCATTCTAAGAGGTAGTCTTTCTTTAAAGATGACTATTCATTTTATAATGGTGGTCAGTTAAGTAAGTTGGTGAGAAGAGGGCAAATTAAATGAGCTCTCATAATTTTTTTTAAAGTATAGAACAGGAAACATTATCCTACCTTAGTATCATCTAAATCACTCCAAACTGTTCCCTTGATTTGGTTCTACAAATGGAAATGAAAATAAAACAATTTTATTTTGTCTTTAAACCCATATTAACAATTATTCTCCATTATTTTTAGTTTTGTCTCAATTCAGCTCATCCAACAGTTCCAATCTCTTTACACCTTCAATTCAGGACATTTTGATAAAGATATTAATACATGTTTCAGATACTTAATCCATCATCAGCACACCTGGTTTGGAAATAAACCAAAATAATCACAGAAAAAGCAAACAAACTTATTCTTACCTCTGGTAACTTGGTCCAATTAAATGACTTCATGGGGTTTCCTGGTTTGGGTATTTTTTTCTGTTTCCCTCCTAAAGCTGGACCTCCTGTAATTCAAAGAAAGGATTAAATTCTGGGATGTATCTTACCATAACATTTTCACGGCTTGACCCTTCAACATGGCATTGTACATATTTTTGTCATGAAAATACATGTGTTTGTCATAAAAAGAAATTATCAATTGTAATTGATTCAAAATTTAGGCTTATTATTTGATTTTTGTTCAAATGATTTAACATTCATATCTGCGGATCTTTCAACTTACCAAAAGGTGGTGGAGGAGGAGCCCCTGGAGCAGGTGGTGGGGGTGGGGGTGCTGAGGGGGGTGGGGCAGAGGGTGCTAACACTGATGGTATCTTGAAATCTTTATTAAGCATGGTTCCTGATAGTAACTGACTAGTAGACAACCCCATCTTGGCGTCGTCTGGTAGACTTCCTGTTTTTACTAAATGTTGTAGTTTTTGTTTTTCTCCTCTCTCTGCCTCTAACTGAAATTAAAACAGAACGGAACATTTACATTTAGTCTCCCATGTCAAGTTATTACGATCATCAGACACTTTTCTTGTAAATAGTTAAATCAAGAAAAATTACACATTCAGGGAAACACAAAATATAAACACAATCAGTTCACCCTATTTTGTATTGCTACTGACACAATGACTTTAAAGTCAAACTTAACAGTATGGTTTCAATCAAAATGTGTTTTAGCTTGAAGCAAAGTGTTGGAATTGTCATTGGATGTGCATTAAACTTGAGAAGTTTCCACATGGAAAACTAATCTAACTGATACTTACATAAGAAGTGACTTCATGTAACTGAGCCATGAGAGAATTTAACTGTAACTTAACATCAGCATGGGCAGCCATTTCCTTCTCTAATTTAGCATTCATATGATTCATGGTGGACATCAATTCTTCCTACAAACACATAACATGCAACATTTATTTCTGTCCTAAGATTTTATGACATTTTGGAATGTCTACCTCTAGAGCAAGAACCAATTATGGTTTTACTTTACAAAATCTGACTCTTATAATTGATTTCATCAGCGTTTTTTTACATTTTTCTTCTCTTACCCTAGGAAATGCTTTCAAAATAATGTTATTATGACATCACCATTTTGGATGACTAATTACTAAAAAGGCATGCAAAAATAGTCAATCCCTTTCCTTGCATTAAGCATGACCATGTCTTAAGTGTAAATTCTAAGACAATATCAAAAAAACCTGTTACCTTTTCCTCAAACCTCGCCTCACATTCTCGTTCTCGTTTGGCTAATTTAGCATTCAGCTCATCGTTAGCTTTCTCAGCTTCTCGTAACTTATTCTGGAATGATTTTACATCATTTTCACTCGCTAACCTGAAATATTGTCCAAAATTATCCTTTTACAATTTTAACATGTGATGTTTCATGTACCCACAGCAGTTACAGTAATTATTGGGTTATTAAATTGAGTGGCAAAGTGAAATGGTCAACTTGGTTAACGAACCATAGACTCACTTGCCAAAGTAGCTACTGAACCTTAGTTGATTCTCTCCGAAATGAGAACACTCACAATTTCAGCTGATTTCTATAAATTTCTATATTTGATACACATTAATCTACAAATAGTAACTGAGAGTCAAGGTTTATTTCAAATATATTTCACATAGTAGGTATTAAACTTTAAATTTCTTTTCAAAATATAAACATTTCAATATTATTTCAATAAAATTTCAGCTGATTTTCTGTGATATTGAAATAAAGCCATGTTTATCTAGTATAAGCCTACCTATGAGTGATTTGTTGTATATTAATTTCCTCCATGGGGGCGACGTCTGGATCTTGTCCATTCCGCTGTAACACAACCTGTTGTACCATTTTATCAATCAGAATCCAAACTGGTGTCATGTCTTTCTTAGAATCTAGAAAGTAACATAACATATGACTGAAGATTCTGCAATATGTGAGAGCATTTATCTTTTGAATTACCAACTTATATTTTTATGTCTTTTAATATGAAAAATTAATGAAATTTAAAAGTAATGTTTCCAGGCCTATATAACATGATGAATCAGAAGGTAGCACTCAGGGTTTACTTTCCAAAGTACTAGATGAGCATACACATATAATGTATATAACGCAAGCCCTACAGCTTGAATCACTGCCTAAAGAAATCAGTCTTAAAAGTGATTTCTAATCATTTAGTTTTCTTCCAGTTTCACTATCATCTGCATTCTACACAATTTAAATAAAATATTTTAACTGACAATACTTACAGGGTAACATGACCAAATGTTGTAAAATTGACATGAAATTATTATATGATGTGGACAACGCTAATTTCTTCCGTAATAATTCAAACATGGCTGACGCACTTTTAGTATCTATATGTACCTGGAATTAAAATTAATTATTTTACAGTTCACTTGCTCTTGGAGTTGTAAACAGGATTGTTGATCTTCTAAGAATGAATTCATTTAGATTTGGTTGACGTTGTGAAAAGGGATGACATTCCAATTTTTTAATTATGTCCAAGTACAACCTTACTAAAATAATTTACAGCTCTTCTTAGACTGAAGAGAAGTGCGATAGATTCAGCAAGCCATAGCTAAGTATATCAGAAGATTAATGCTACAATATTGATTTGGCAAAATTTAAAAAAAAATACAGCAAATCTGCATACATAGAGCGCAATTTAATAATTTGCTCAAGCAAGACCTTGAATGCCTCTTTTGTATCTTCTGTCAAAAGTGACCAAAAAATGAAGGATTTTATATAAACTTACAGATTCAAATTTTTTGGCTATTTCTTTCTCATCTTCATTCCTAACCATCTCAAAAAAATCTAAATGTCTGAAAAAATACAACAAAATTAATTTTGAAGATCAAATGAATTTTTAATGGATGGCCAAAATTTGGATACCATTAACTTTGGAACAGAATAGAGAAGTTTTTGAGCAAAATGCTCACAATTAAGCTGATGGCTGACTCTTTTTTAACCCCTGTGAAATAAACAATGAATATTAATATTAATAATAATATTAATAGTGGGCAACCTTGAAATGAGATTAATTAACAACTGATTGAGCAAATGAAGACAGATCAATCAGTGGCAACCTTACCTATCTAAAGTAGAGTTTTCATGAGATCGTAGTTTTTCTATAATAGGTTGTATTCCTAGCATGAGAAATTCGTAACGAAGATGTAGCCTGAATTCTAGATGATCTTGTCCAGGGCCATATTTTAACGCAGCGTTGAAAAAAGACATGATGGCTGTTTTCAGATTGACCTCTTCTCGATATTTTCCTGTACTTCTATCTAGGTCATTGATTAGGGTCTGAAATTGAAAGTGAGGAAAGTTAATGAACACAATGTATATTTTCAAAATTATGTATCTTGTAAGTTAACATCAGATATATTTTCAATCCTATTTAGTATGAAAGGACCTCCTGATATGTAACAGTTAAAACTATATAGTTTCAAAATTGAAGAGAACTCGATCATACTGGAATATCATTATCATTTATTTGGCTCTATTTGCGTGGGTCAGACAATTCATGAATTCAATTCCTTTTGAAATATAGGCTATACAAAATTTCAAGGAAAAAAATCAAAATTCCTTAGAACATGCTCCTGATGACAAATGAGTTATAAAATTCAAATCAACGAAATTAAATATGTCGAAATGTCTTGCAAAAAATTAAGTGTCGATAAACGAATGCCAAAATTTGCAGATTTGCCATGTACAATGAAATATCAAAATAATTCACAAATCAACATCCTTACATTAAGATCATTAATTAGCTTAATGAATGGATCTCCTACAAGTCCATTTACAAAATCCTGTAAAACTTTTAACCGACTGTTTCCATAGTTGATATAGTGAGAATAGCAAATTTTATGATAAAATTTCTTCCTTTTCTTAAACCTTGCCGCTGTCATATCAAAATTCTTTGATTTCCTGATCAAAAATCCTTTTCAAAACTTGATAATCCATTTGTTAAAATAATTTCCACACATAATTTGATGATGTCATTAAAATTGGTGTATTATTATAATTTTGAATTATGATGTCACAGTATTGTGATGTCATAATGGCTTATTTGCACAACAGAATGATACTATTGTTATTTCTATTAGTAGGAAAGCAGATTAAAGTAGAAACTACAACTTGTTATGAAATATTTGATAATAAATTTATCTGAATTGTGGAATATGACATCTCTAGAGGTTTTGTATAAAGAATTCTGTAAACACATTGGCACTTTGTTAGAGCAGCTTAACTTCAGTCCTACTGAACAAATTTCCGTTTTTATTTCAACCATGTTAATTTTACCAAAAATCTTGTCCTCCCCGGAGCAAAATGTCTATACTTTCATATCAAATCCTCATTTAACAGGATATGGGGTGGTAAATTTTTAAAAAAATTACCTGAAATCGTGTCCTCTCAGCAGCATAATGTTGAAAATGAATCATGGCTTGTAGAACTTTTTTATGTCCACCAGGTACGATACATACAGCACCAAGAATTTCTAACACCGCGATTTTAGTTTTGACGTTCTCGACTCGTAAACTCTGGGCTATAATATTGATACATCGTGGATGGGCTAAAACATGCGATCTTCCATGCTGAAAAATACATCAGTTCTAATTAAAGAATTGAATAACAGAGGGGTCTCAGAATGCAGAAGAACTTTTTATGTTTATATAAGATTATCAGGGAGGGGCACTAATCTTCTTAAGTCTAAGGGAAACTACTCATCTTGTTGATCTGGTGCCTACTGCAATCAGAGAAAAGTCAATAATGGTCCTGTATGAGAAAGGCTACTTGACACCAAATTTGAAAGAATTATTTTCAACACTAAGGCATCAGAAGTGGTAATGTATGATAGAGGCTACATGAGCCTAAATGTGATAGAAATGTTATCCAGGACTTACTGAGTTGTTCATGAGACCTTTAATGCATCCAATGATAGAGGTGTGTATCGAACTCTCTGATATCCAATAATCCATTTTACACAGATATTCCAATAAACATTGCAGTCCTCCATTATCGACAAATCTCACCACAAAACTGTAAAAAATATTACATAAAAATTATATTTATTGTTGCAACTGTAATTTTAAAGTAAAGAACAAGTGTTGAGCATTTTAGTTGCAGTTTAGATGTTAGTACTTGAGATTCTAGGCTCCTTAGCTGACTAGTCAACACCCCTCTCTATAAGGTTGTTATTTCTTTACAGAAATCAGCAAATGATGTAATAACATTTAAAGTTACTAAACCAATTGGGCTACATCCCTCTCTAAAAGGTTACTTTTCCCCAACAGAAATCAGCAAATGACGTCATAAGATTCTAGGCTCCTTAGCTGACTAGTCAACACCCCTCTCTATAAGGTTGTTATTTCTTTACAGAAATCAGCAAATGATGTAATAACATTTAAAGTTACTAAACCAATTGGGCTACATCCCTCTCTAAAAGGTTACTTTTCCCCAACAGAAATCAGCAAATGACGTCATAAGATTCTAGGCCCCTTAGCTGACTGGTCAACACCCCTCTCTATAAGGTTGTTATTTCTTTACAGAAATCAGCAAATGATGTAATAACATTTAAAGTTACTAAACCAATTGGGCTACATCCCTCTCTAAAAGGTTACTTTTCCCCAACAGAAATCAGCAAATGATGTCATAAGATTCCAAGACTCCTTAACCAGCTGAGCTACAGCCCCCTCTAAAATGAAAGTTATGCGTATAAACTTACCTCATTGTTTGAGTTCTAAGAGCTGTTTTTAAATTATCTACTACTTTGGTTCTCATCAATAAATCTTCATCTCTTTCCAGTCCTGACTGAATCTACAAAATAATACAAAAATAAGTTCTAGGTGTTTTAGATTTACAATCATAGCACTGCCAATGAATATACACAAAACTGAGAATGTGATAAAGTAACAACAAGGTATAGTGCAATTACTTCAGTACCATTTATCAATATATATGGTGCATTCCTTATAGTGATATAATTGCCATAATTTCATTACAGAAAATCGATGCCCTTACCAAAAATAAAATTTATCATGAACATCAAATTTAGAATATTAAATACAAGACAAGGTGCTACACTCAATTCAGGGTTAAATGTTAATAGTAGAGCTATCTTTTTACACCAATCAAGTAGTTTCTCAAGACTTTTGACATTTCTAAACCCTCACTTTTCACCTGGTTTTAACATTTCAACATATAAATAAATCCTCTATTAAATAAATTAACACCTTACTGTTGATAGAGAGTAAAAATTCAGATTTCAAAACTTCTGTTAGTGCACTGATTTTTAGATCAAAATTATTGAAAAAAATATTAGCCACATAAAACACATAAGACGTGTGAGTGGTTGGCTCCCAGTGTTTTTCTTGATTCAGGTCACAAACCTACACAATTTATTTAGCTAGGATACAACCAGTTTTATGACTTGATGTTAATTAAGCATTAAATGAAGAAAAGAGGCAATTATCTAGCAGAATCTCTGGGCAACTGGATTTTTTAACGACTGCTAGCAACTGTCAATCTCTGGGTTTAGTCTATCTGAATGCACTAATAAATGTTTTTACCACTTGCTGTTAATTGTTCATGATTCAAAAATAAATCTAGCCATCAATCTGAGACTTGGGAATATTATGAACATCCAGTTTTTAATGATGGGGCAAATTTGAAAATTGAGATTTCGCTTATGATAATAGATTTAATAAGATGCACTAAACTACCTTTTCTCTAAGGTCTAGGGATTGCTCTATTAACCTACTGACTGAATTACTTATAAATAAAAATTTGAATAATAAAACCACATAATAAAAGTAATTTGATCTGTACAAATTTATATAAAATTTCATTAATTCAAGAATATCATCTTTATGTAGGATGAATAGAATACCCCAGACAGTTTTTATGGTGAATGTGATATGCCCTACTTGAAGCTTTGCACCTTATAAATTTTAAACATGGTTTTGTATGCAAATGATAAATCAATGGTATCATGGAATTTTCTAGATACCCTATTCATTGCATTATAACTAGGTAAATAATAGGGCAAGATGGCTTATTCTAGACACCCAAATGTAAGAGCTGGTGATGTTTCATGTCTGACACTACGGTAAGTAAATTTTAACAAGAAGGTAAGAGGGCCTTTTCCAGACACCCTTTCTGACTATATTACTATAATCATATTGAAATGTAGATGTCAGTAGTGTATTATGTCTGTATGGTGTTGTATAGTGTCCTGTAGTAAGTCAATGATAAATTAATACTCTCTATTGAAATACTATCTATAAAGTTACATTTAAACATTTTTTTCTTTATTAGTAAATATACCATTTGTTAGTAAATGAAACACTTGGTTGAAAAAAGTTTTGGAGAAACATTCGGAAATCAATGTAACATTCAGAGAAGTCCATGTAATATTCAAAAAGAGGTCACTGTAACATTCCGGGACGTCAATGTATCATTCAGAAGTCATTGTAACATTCAAAGCAGCTGATATAACATTTAAAGAAGACAATGTAACATTCAGAGAAGTCAAAATGACATTCAGAGAAGTCATTGTTACATTCAGAGAAGTCATTGTAACATTCAGAAAAGTCATTGTAACATTCAGAGAAGTCATTGATACATTCAGAGAAGTCATTGATACATTCAGAGAAGTCATTGATACATTCAGAGAAGTCATTGATACATTCAGAGAAGTCATTGATACATTCAGAGAAGTCATTGATACATTCAGAAAAGTCATTGTTACATTCAGAAAAGTCATTGTTACATTCAGATAAGTCATTGATACATTCAGAAAAGTCATTGTTACATTCAGAAAAGTCATTGTTACATTCAGAGAAGTCATTGATACATTCAGAAAAGTCATTGTTACATTCAGAGAAGTCAATGTAACATTCAGAGAATTCTTGCAACATTCAGAGAAGTCATTGTAACATTCAAAGCAGCTGATATAACATTTAAAGAAGACAATGTAACATTCAGAGAAGTCAAAATAATATTCAGATAAGTCATTGTTACATTCAGAGAAGTCATTGTAACAGCAGATCGATAAATTTTAAATTAAAAAAAGAATAAACTCTAGAGACAATTCTTTGTATATTTTTTTTAGAGCAAATTTACTTCTCTCAAATAGAGACAACAAATATGAATGCATAGTCTCTTCAACAGGTCAGAAACTAATAGAAATTTCAACTGTATTTCACTTTAGCAGATAAACCTCACTGTTTCCTTAAAAATTTCTGGACAATTGGAAACAATTCCAGAAAATAAATTGGGGATTTTAAAGTGAAAACTTACTGGGGACATGGCTGAGATCTTCTCGATATATTTATCTGGTAAACTTTGAGTTGTTGGATCCACATCCTGAAATTATATAATGAAATAAATGAATGGAGTTTTACTTCTTACTTTTCTGCACCATGTGGGCTAATGAAGACAGGCAACGCCATGCAGGGTGCAATGAATGAAATTTTGCAAGGACAGTGTCAATAGCATGCTCTTTTTGATTTCCAACTTTTGAGGGATCTTTAACATGCACAGTCTGTAGCACACGGAAATTATACAGAAATAAGAATAAGCTTAAATAAAGCTAAAGGCAGAGAAAAACACAACTTTAATTATTTGGTTTGATGGCCGCTAAAGCTCAATTTAAGCTCTTTATGTCACTTTTCAGAATAAATATCTGACTGCAGATATCTCTATTTCTCTTTAAGAAACAGCAATTATTTTATAAGGATAGAGGAGGAGGAGGTGGTTAACAAAGTTTTAATTTTCTAAGGTGTTTTAACAAAGCAAATTATTCAATGACTCTACATAAAGAATTTTCTAAAGTGTGCCCACACATCTACAATGTGTATTTCATCAACATTCTTCACCTTTATTTAACAATGTACAAAAGGCAGTAAATATTTCTTTAAAATTCATTAGGTTAAAATCAAATATTACATTAAAAACTAAAAATAGCCCAGATCAAAGACGCCTGTATGTTCATTACATGCTCTTTGTGTGCACTATACAGACACACAGTCTGAAAGTCAAAGGTCATAGGTCATATTGCAGACACATGTTTTTATTAATTCGGCATGTTCCCTCTTTTCTTCACAGTGTTAACCCTGTAGTTCTAGAAATTTGATGTATTTTTAATGCTTTGATCGTACTTTGATATTTGAAACAATTTGAAATACATTGAACTAGCAAATTGGAAACACATAATATTAAAACCTTACTTCCTCTGATTCTGTTTTTATCAGTCTAATGGATACAAGCTGCAGATATTAATTCCTCATAAGGACAGATAGTTTCGGAAATGGAAGTCAACTGTTCATTTAGGGCAAAGTAGATGAATTCACTTAAAGCTACGGACGGAATGGATGAATTTTCATGGCGAATGGTTAGGACGAGTCGATTGCCAGCGAACTTTGTCTAGTGTGTCCAGTGCTATGACATTAGCCGAGCGACAGTTGAAGCCATTCGCCAACATCAAGCGTGTTTGGCCCGAAAAATTTCTTGCCATCAACTCATTCGGCAAGTGTATCCACTCTGGCGAAGTCTATCGCAAACTTTCCTATAAAAGAAAGGACATTTAATGTCAATTCAAAATGAAGGTTTGTTTTCAATTTAATTAGACTCAGTAATTCCACATGACCAACATAGCAATCTTAGAATTTTTTTATTCCATCAGTCTATTACATAATAGATCATAACTTCTATTAAATTCAGAATAGAACCAAGTGTAATTGGATAAAATCTTTCCCTTACAAAAATCCAACATTGCCAACAAAGTTATTACAACATTTCTATTTCATGAGCCTATTACAGCTTGTAAATGATAACTTTCTATTTCCAGTGTTTGGTCTGTCGCAATTCAAACCAGAACCAAGTGTTAATGGATAAGATAAAATCGGTGAACTTTCCAACAGGATCAATATTGGAAACTCTCGGAAAACACTTAGAAACACCACGGATACACATGAATCATGAAAGCTATAATTGAATCATTTATCATTGTATTTCATTGGTTAATAGCTAATCTATCAAAGCTTCTCATTGGTTGGTATTTTATATTGTTATTCAATAAAATATATAAGCCCTACATTATCACACCAGAGGTGCCCTGTAAAACCTTGCCACCTTGGTATGTTGAAACAAGGCATCTATTTATGATTTTTGTGAGCAAAAAATTAGGCATCAGCTGTTTTACAGAACATGATAAAGCCAAGTTTTATGTCCTGTTATTTTGCACCGCATTGGAAAAAACGAATAAGAATAAATAGAAATCTTCTGAAATTATTCTTATAATGAAATAAATTCATTTGTCTCCCATTTTTTCATTTGTTCATTGACTTTACTTACTATGCTTCTATGCCTATCAGTCCAGTTTTGGAAATTACCCCTTTTTTCCAATCTCAATTATTTAGCTGTCTCTATGTGAACCTAGGACATACTAGTGCTAAGATTGGTTCGACGATAAGTGGCCTGGTCAATTGATAAGATTTTTAGAGGAATGAGGCCCCAGGGCATATTGGATTAATATCGATAATCAACGTTATTCACAGGAAATAAATAACTGGATGAAAATTTACGAGAGAGTCCTAATCTGACATCAGGCTGTGTAGAAACTTTTGAACAAATACCTGATATTGACATGGTCTACATAGTTGACCTTTCATGACCTTTACCAACCTCTTGATAGTGTTTACTGATTGGTCTAAATGGATAGTCAATAACCAATCAATGTCTTTGATTATTTTCCTTGTTAACACTCTATGGCCATTTACTCAAGAAGCACTTCAGGGAGTTCTAGCTTAGAAATATAATGGAAATATCTGAAGCTCAGTTAATGAAGATTGAAAGCTGTGAGTCAATTCGTTCAATGTGTATTATCAAACTAACAATAACCTATTGTGGACTATGTGGACTTGATTACTATGTACAGTAACATAATTCCAATCTTCTCAAATTCCATGATTTCCTGTTATTTATTTTGCTAATACCTCGAATTTAACGCCTTTACTGGTTTAATGGAAAATTATCACCCCTATATGAGTGTGCCCCATTCATTTACATTTTGTTCAGTAAGCCACCTGGATTTTGAGTTTTAAGTTTTTTATACATCTGATTTGGCTAATGAAGACAGACAATGCAATACAATGTGCAATGAGAGAAATGTTGCATACTCTTTTAGATTTCCATCTGAAGATAAATCTTTGATATGCACAGCCTGTTGAACATAGTGCCTTGGTTTATTACACCACAAGGTTAGCAAACAAGCATCTAAATCAATGAGCAACCTCTGTTTCCTGACCTATGTGAAAGTGTTTTATTGTTTAAATGGCACTATATTCTGGCCCTAATCTAGCTTTAAAGAACTATTGCTCTATTTTGACCATAGTCAAAATTTTATAGTTTGAAAGGCACAATATATACTAGCCCTTACCTAACTCTAAAGCCCTATTGCCCCATCTTTATTTCTGGGAGTTTTCAATTGATGGAGAGTCTAGCTCTTACCAAGCTCTTAAAAACTATACATACTGAATGAATCAATAACTATTAGAATGTAACATTACCTATCAAATATTCATAGACTACCACTAATAAACTTGGTTTTTATGGACATCTAGAGAATATTACATCATTTGTTTGGTTAGAAATAGTGGCTATCAGCTATAATCGAATGTAATGATTCAAAAGTTTACATGAACATGGGTGACAGTTTCAAGGTGGTTTATGGAGTCAAGGTCTATAACTGTAGAAAATAAATAAATCAATAACTATTAGATTGTGACATTACCTATCAAATATTCAGACTACCACTTAAATGTTTTTAATGGATATCTATAGAATCTTATATCATTTGTTTGGTTAGAAATAGTGGCTATTATCTTAATGTTATGTCAACATTCAACAGTTTACAAGATGAACACATAATTTTTCCCTGGTTGATAGTTTCAAGGTGGTTTATGGAGTCAAGGTCTATAACTAAATTACAAATTGTGACATCGACTTTTAAATATTCACTTGGTTTTTATATACATTTTGGTTGCAAAAATTTTGTTAAGGGGGGCTCAACTATGTGATTCACAAGTCATCTAAATTTTTCAGGGGTAGCAAAATTTTTCTTAGGGGACGGGGCATTGGTCACCCTTAGCTATGAGCCTGTAGCATTACTGTTTGCGATTTTCATTTTTAACAGATTTCTAATATCAGCTGATTTGACAAGGTAGCACTTGATGGCATGATTATCATATAACCCTAGGTTTAATCTATCATATAAATATTATTATAATAACTGATATCAAATTATAAATATACAGGCCAATATCATATATAATATTTAAAAATAATTAACTCAAGAATTTACTGTTTTATAAACAGTTACTTCACTGGTTCAATAATCTTCACAAGGTCAAAGTACTAAGAACTCTGCCTAAAACCTAGATTTCATTAGGCTCTTATCTTGTATCACAGAAGTTTGTAAATGCAGCAATTTGATTGACATTTACTCTTGACAATCCAATCAAATTTCTGCATTTACAAACTTCTGTGATAAGAAAAGTGCCAATAAATGAAGGAGTTTGTAGTACCCTGACATTATGAAAATGAGGTTCAATAAACTACGCACTCGTCCAGATTTTAGAAGCGATAAGTTTCATATTTCTACACTCAATATGAAGACAAGTGGTATAGATGACAACACTAAATGCCCATTTATAGATGGGCCGACTGGAATAATGTTGAAAGATGAATTCTTCAAGTTGACCAGGTGCCTTATTCTCGAAAAATAAAACACAACTTAAAATAATTTCCCAGACTTCCACACCAACCAAGATTACAACCCAAGACCACTATTTGATAAAGTGAAGTCATCGTGATTGGAATAAAAATGTAAAGATGGCATATTCAAGACTTTTCAAATATTATTATCTTTCCCAGAGCCAATCTCATTTATCTAAGTTTATTTTTCAACAAAATATCAGGGTCAACTGACCTTGTATGACCTTGAAGACGTAAGATAATTAAATTAGGAGTAATTCAACAACGATAATCCTAGGGTAATCTCTCGTCATTCAGTCTGTATGCTAATCCATGATCGTCCAGTCATGTCAGGTTTTACCAGTCTTAAATAAACAATGTTACTATACCTGATTCAACACCCACCTCAATCTTAGAGGACAACGAAGACCTTATAAAACTTCAAGAGAATGAAATTTAATTTTTCATTCCTCAGGTTTTTTGAAAATAACACTTTTAGTGGAAGAATTTGAAATTTAGATTCTTCCTGGGTTTTCGAAAGGCAGTGTGCAAGAACCCAGGATACATTCAAGGCTGATGCAAATTAATTAAATATAGATAACTTAATGAGAAATAAAACCAAGGGCAAATTTCTGTGACTGATACAGCAAACATTGAAAGGGCACAATGTCTGGTAATGCACATAATAAAGAAGGAGCTCACAAGTCCAAGTCAAACCTCCATGACTGAATACAGCCAAATAAATATTCAGATATCTCTACATTTGTAAACAAGATATTTGTAATGTTAATATTCAAAAGACAGAAACCAGATGTCTGGCGCTGTGAGCTCCCCTTCAACAATTCTGTAGCCTCCAATCTACCTACCCAAGCCCCACATACCCTCCTCTCCCCGCCCCCTATCCATGTTCATTGTTCATAGAAACATCATTTTTTACGATTGCTCATGAATACAGTCAAATCAATATCCCGACATGTTTTTAATCAAGATAATTATTATGTTAATATTTATCTTGGGACCGGTGCCAGATGGTGTCAGGAATCAGTCTACAGGTCACGCCGACCTGGAATAATTCTACATGCTGTATCAAGAATATTGATTTGGTTCCATATCAGGCTCATTTAGATTCTTATCAGGAATTACACAACTTAGCTTAAACTATTATAAGATTTTTCTTCTTTGCAATAGCCTGGAGACTGACTGACATAGTCAATTAAGTAGAAATACCTCTTTAAAACCTTTTTTCCACATGGCTGTTTTCCAATAAAAAAATTGAATTTAGCAATGTTTGCATCTTACAATGCAGATGGAAGTTCATTGAAGAGTAAGAATTCCATCCAAAATGGAGCCTTATGTTTTCTATTCTTGAGTTGCAGCTAAACAATTATGAATAGTTTCCCTGATGTTTTATCAAAAGTAGCTAACAACATATGAAAATAGTCCTCTTTACAATTTTTACTAATGGTCTACCAGACAATAAATTTCGGAAAAGAAAGCAGACCAGGAGCATCAATCTCATGACAAATTTGAGGTGAAAATTGGTGAGATGATGAGTAGAAATTAAATACATAAAGACAAGTATCTTAATGTCCAAACTGGACCAGATAGAATGAAGGGAATGCTGAATGACCGGTAAACTATCTTCAGTAGAATTCTCTATTGACATTTTAACTACATGCCAACCATCTTTCCATATTCCTTGAATACCTGACAATATAATGGGATTCTAGATCAGCCAGGTTGGCTAGAGTCAAAGAGCAGTTTTTTCTTGCACAATCCTGATGATTTTAAAACTGAAACAGATGCCAGCTACAAAAGCTTGGGCTAATCACATTTTTGTCCAGTTTTGGCAATTTTTATTTAATCACAGTTTCCCTCTTTTTTTATTATGGTGAAGTTTCACAATCTGTTTGAAATTCTGATTATGGTGCGGGCACATGAGCGGTTTTGGTCCATTGGTTGAATCATATTTGAAGCTGAACTTAACCTTATGAAAAATGTCGACAGATTCAAAAGCAGATAGCTACCATCATAAAATCTTCAAAGAACAAAACATCACACAATGACATCAATCAAATATTCTTTAATATGGAATCAATAAATCTTCAAACCTTATCTTTCATGCACTCAGTACAAATAATTCTGTGTTTGAATTCCAGATTTAATGGTGATGATAAGAATTCTGGGTGCTATGATACTATGATAGTTTTAATTAAAAGACATAAATCAAACTCCGAAATACAGTAATTAACTGATATGATAGATGAGACAAAGAATTTAATTATAGTCTAACATATACAGATTACTCCAGCAATACAACTTTTCATTATCAAACTTCAACATCCAATTCTGTAGGAATATAATAGATAGTCATCTCAATATTTGCTGTATTTTATTTAACTGAACATTTTACTCTAGCCAAACCACTTTTCATTATCAAAATCCAGCATCCACTTCTCCTTCATAATCTATGTCATTAAAAGGATATAGTAGTCCATATATTTGTTGAAGTTCAGTTATATGAATTTACTAAGATTGCCCATTTCAACAACACAACTTTCATAAATCTAACTTCAATATTAACATGGACAAAAGTGTAGAAACTTGGTTCTGTGAATTGGGATATAGAGGAAATATGATGTAGGAGTTTTAAGAGATAACCACTACTTGGGGAGTTTATTTTTATATAAGTCCCTGTTGTCTATAAAATTTAGGTAGAACCAATTTAACAAGTTTGATATCTAGTTGCTATTTAATACTATCAAATGTAAATTCATTATATCATTATGCCCATGAAACAAAATTCAAGAATAATGTTTTATATTGTCAAATCTAATACCAGAGAAAACTGAACAATAAATCCAATAAAGACAATAAATTCCTATCATGTCTAATTTCATTGTTTCCATGGAAACCAAAATAAAGACAGATCCACTAAATCAAACAAATTCCAAGCAATTCTCAGTTCAAGCCTAATTTCATTGTTTCCATGGAAACCAAAATAAAAAGAGATCCATCATTGTCTGGTAACTAATATAAAATCATGGTGACTCCAGCTGGAGTGAAATAACTCGATTTCTGTTAATTCTGTAGAGAATAGCCTCCAGCGACAGTTGACCAATCAACAATGTTACTTCTACTTAACTTACGCCACGGATATTGATTCGGAATTCTAAGAAAGTGTCGCCTTCAGAGAGATAAAATCTTGACAATTCTTATACTTCTCAATTATATTAGTTCTCAATTATATTAAGTATAGTTTAGTTGGCCATGGGGGAAATTTGATGACAAGACGGAACTCAAATTTAGGTTATGTCATTGTGCCTAAGATTCTCTGAATAAAATGAGAAATACAGAGAAACTGAAAGCCCTCCCAACCACACCCTCTGTAAACATCCCCTCTATACCAGCATATTCAAAAAGTCCTTAGATAATCTATAGAAAGAAACCCGTAAAAAAAAACAGGACCCACTATAAACTGCAATCCGACATGTAAATCAGATCCCAAAGAAGATAATCTTTAGTTAATTAACCTCTCTAAACCAGCAACTCCAGATTATTTATTGGTAATCCGTTGATGATATTAAAGATAAGAATGACATGTGCCTTGACAAATTATCAAAATAAACGATTACTCACTAATCAAAGTCTCAAGAATTCTCTCAATGTCTAGCATGTATCTCTGGCGATAAAAACTGAATAGAGATGTGAGGAATATAGATTGTTAAGAACTATTGTTCACCACAGAAATCTATACAATCAGTCCAGTAGGTTAATGGAGCAAAATTGATGACATGATAGAACTATATAGAAATTAGGTCACATTCAGTCAATCAATCCAAGATTTTGTCAGCTATCACACAATATTCAGATCTAAGTTCTCTCTCTCTTTTATTCTCCTAATTAGGAAAGAATAGAGATCCACAAGACCAATGATATAAAATCTGGTAAAGGACTGTATCACCATTTTCAATGCAGAAGTTACAAGAAGGGCATATTTTGCCCTCATCAGAGCCTGGCATCCCTTTGCGGATTCTAGAGGGCTCTAGTTAGGGTTGGGATCATGGGGGTGAGGAGGTTAGGGAAAATTTTCTTAACTAGAAGCCAGAGGATACATCTAACACAATTTTGGAAGTGATATTTTCCCTTTTTTATGGCCTGAGGGAGGCATGGTGCCAAATATGCCACTTGGTAGGTTTAATTGTCCAATATCAGATACCAGAAACAAAACTGACCTTTTTCTTGCTACAGTAGATCTGCCATTTTTTCTCGTTTGGTAAGCTGTACAGCGCCTCCTGGTGAGGTTTGTCTAAATCTAGTTCCGCCTGAAATATCAATATCGTGATTATTATTTCACCATTGGAATAAATATACTCTAATTATTACCTATGTGCACTTTCAAAAGTGAGGCGTCAACTGCTATCACAGAGTACTATCGGGTGTTTCGCAAACTGGAGTTTTGTAAAAAAAAAAGACTGCTTCATAGAATGCCAAGGTCATAACCTCCTGCAAATCTAAGAGGCCACTATTGTTAATCTGCAAACTTCACTTTCAATGTTGCATATTCTGGTCATATCCCGCAGTAATTCTAGGAAATCTTTAATCAAAATGTGCAATAAAAAGTAGCTTCTTTTTAGAAAAAAACATGAAAAAAGTTGGATTTTAAAAAATATATCTGATGTTCAAATCATGACACAATATGTGTAATGTTTTGTAGTTCTTTCATCAAACTGGGCCTTGGAGATAGTGGGATTTTAAAGACAAATGAATCTTAAAACAAGATTTGACATCCAAAATATGATACTTCAAATAAATGTTAATCTTGGAATATATGATAGACCATGCTGGGTGATATCAGAAAGTTGTCAACATATAGCTTGGTTATCAATTTTAATATGTGATGTCGGTCAAAATCAGAGAAACAAAATAAATATGTTTTTAGTTTTCAGGCCACAATTTATTTTATTGTCAAAACATAGCAATCAACTGTAAGTATATTTTGGTAAATTTTGACTAGTCCTGCTGAGTGTGAAACAGATGGTGGCCAGAAAATTCTGATACATTATCAATTTGGTTAAACTCAACTTATAGAAAAATAATTAATTCATTCTAATTATTGAAGGAAACTATCAATCTTTTGATTTGAAATCATCAGGAACATACAGATTGATCTAGATCTGCATTTCAAATTAGATTGATAATCATCCAAAGGATGAGCACAATAGAATTCTTACCACTAATTCTTGAAACTTGGCGTTTAATTCCTCTTCATCTGTTGGCATGGGAATATCCACTTCCATAGGTTTTAATGTTCCTTCCGTATCCATAGAATGTTTGATCTCTGGAGGGCGTGTTCCTCCCAAACACCAACAAAAACCATTTTTAGCCGGCATCGTTAATCCTTAAATCTGTTAATCTGTTAATCCTTTCATATTATTCTGAAATTACAAAAAAAAAGACATTTTTAAGAATTTGCTTTCCAATATATATATGTATATATTCTGTGTTGCAAAAAAACTTCTGAAAAAAAAAATTGAAACAGACATCAAACCATTCTTAGAATAATAATGAACCTAAATTAAAATCATTTATATGTTAAAATAGGAAAGAAAATCTCTTCAAAAGCCAGTCCTGAAGCCAGATTTCAAATTACTGGTACACTGGTATCATAAATACTCAACAATGTTTCAGAAGTGAATCAACCTCAAATGACAAAGAAGATGCATTGTTGAGAGGTTCAATAATTCAGGATCACTTGAATACAACCAAGTGGATAGAAAATGCTTTGTGAATTTCAATCTTAATTAGTCAATATTTGACCAAGAACATTAGTTTCCAAAATTGTTAACAGCATCTTTCTAAAATAATCCATCCTTTAAAAAACATCCTACATAATAAATCCAATAAAAACCATAAATTTGCCTGTTTGGTTCATTAGATAAATAAAAAAAGCACCTGTTAATTCTACCTTTGACTGAGTATATCCCAAATCCAAAATATCTATATTTGAAATTCTGTTTTATATTAATAAAATATCTCAATTTGACCTTTTGATAAAATCATTAAAAATAAAACAAATCATTCATTAACCTTGATATATTGACAATCAGAACAATTAAACTATTTATCATAAACATCTTCCATCTGACCTTTTCACCAAGTGAATTTCTGTCAAACTAGGATGTTATCAGGTAGACTGACCTATTGTGAAATCCTTCAACCTCTCATTTCACATACCTTAAATATTACACTGGATTAAAACAGATATTATTTCATATACATCAATGTTCAATGTTCAAACCATAGAAATGTATGGATAAAGATGAATATTTCACAAAGCAATATCTATCCACATTAAGGGTTGGGTAAAATGATCGAAATCGATTATCATCGCTAGGAATTTATAATTTCGATTATCGATTACCAAATTTCATAATCGATTGTATGTCAAAGTAACATTTTCTCCACTGTACCCATTAACAAGTAGTAATCTCTTCCACATAGGTTCCTTTCGGCACATAACATACCCACAGTAGGTTCCTTTCGGCACATAACATACCCACAGTAAACTATAATAACTGATCAAAGCAAGAATATATACCTCTATGATGTACAAATAAACCATGAAATTAAGAATTTTGGCATGTTTTTAATGTATTATTTACAGGGTTTCTTAATTAAATTATTTCGATTATTAATCGATTATTGATCGATAGTCTGCCATCTATACCCAGCCCTAGGGAGCCACCATTTCATTTAGCCAATCACTGACATATACCTGACTAAATCAGAATGATGTATTTTTCAGAAAGAGATAACCATAATGTTCCCAACTAAATGGCAATCAATAATTCAATAAGTTTAAATGGTATTTTAAGGGATCTAACCTCTTTATGCTATATTCTGTTATGTAGGAGCAAGGTATCTTACTTACTCAGCCAACATCCCAGTATCCCTTACCTTACAGGAAATTGAATTGATCCAGACCCTGCTTCCAGCTTAACAACTCTACCAGAATTCCCTGGTCATAAGGCCACCACCCACCTCCCCTCCAATCAACCAAACCAGATCCTACCAACTACCGAATTCTACCTAGTTTGCAATTTCAGCTTTAGCTGGAAGCGAGACAGCCATACCATCTTTAGGTAGAACCAGACTTGAACTTGTTATTTACCAACCACAACCAAGAAAAACATAAGCCCCAAACTAGATTATGTTATGCATGGACTTTTTAATTTCCTAAGCCACTATGTAACATGTAGTTATAACATTAAAAGTTACAAAAGCAACACATGAACTCCAAACTAGATTCTGTTAAAGCCATTTAACACCAAATATGTAAACTATTTACTCTTCTAACCATCTGTAGACCACCCAAGTCCCCCAACTCCCCCCCCCCCCCTCCCTCCCAAAACCCCAATAGTACCAACCCATCCAATTGATCCAGATCCAACTACCTAGTCTGCAATACCAACTTTGACTGGATTTTCCAACCACCAACCAACCAAGCAAAACATGAACCCTAAACCCCACCAAAATTTATACCAATCAAAATCACCTTTGTCATACAAGAGAGGTTTTCTATATTCATATAATATTCAGGAGTTTTGAGCATGTGGTCATAATTACAAATGAAAACGATATGCAATCCTGTTAACTGGGGAGATTGAAAATCCAGTGACATTTTCAATTTTTATTGTCCCAAGTATGAGGTTTACATTCAGAATATGTAACTTTGTATGTAAATATGTTTGAGACATGTTGAAAAGACCAAGGAGAAATACATGAATAAGTGTCATTGATCAAATATAAGATTCATCAACCATATACTAGAAACTATTTAAACATATGTATATATTTATATATTATAGTGCAGAAACATGTTCAAACACATTCTGAAGATTCAATTTTCCTTAAAGGGACAGGTAGGCCATTCTTTTGACCAATCATACTTTAGTCTCAGAAATTGGAATTTTTTAGCTGAGCTAATCAGTAGTAGTGTTCACAGCTCACCGGCAAAATTTGAGCCTTCAAATCCATGTGTGTCCAGAATTATCTGCGTTTAAATGTTAAAATGACGACTTGTCATTTTAAGATACTCTGATATAGAAAAGACATATATAGAAATAGTGGGTAAAATTTCTAGTTTGAAGAAATTTTAAAGGAATTATGTGATTTTCGTACATTTCTAGTATTTCTGAAGATTATTTACATATATTCAAGATTAAAATCAACCCCCCAAAATGGCACACCTGTCCCTTTAACTGAACACGGCAGCAAATATTAATTTCCAAATCATTCTAAAGAAGAAGAAAATAAACTATAAAATGTTTATGATTATAATTTGTGACCTATATCTCAAATAATGTATTAATTATAATATTACTCGCTGGGGGCCAAATAACAATCAAATTATTTTTATAACGACTGATTTAGCAAAATAACTACATCAATTTATATATTTTAAATATTGTACAATAATAAAAAAATTTCTCTGTATGTCAAGACATAAATATTAACAATACAAATGACCAAATTGACTGAATTTAAAATAGAAAAAAAAACTTTGCTTATTATGATCTATAACTTATGGCCCAAAGTATTCTTTGTATTTCATTTTACCAACTTACTCTCAAATTTCAGAACAGATCAGTTTTAAATTGTGCAAAAGATGTCCAAAATATTTCACAAGTAAAATCTTAAATGCTTCAACATTTTTGACATCTTCACAATGTCAAGCTATTACAAACTTCATCTTCACAATGTCAAGCTATTACAAACTTCATCTTCACAGTGTCAAGCTATTACAAACTTCATCTTCACAATGTCAAGCTATTACAAACTTCATCTTCACAATGTCAAGCTATTACAAACTTCATCTTCACAATGTCAAGCTATTACAAACTTCATCTTCACAATGTCAAGCTATTACAAACTTCATCTTCACAATGTCAAGCTATTACAAACTTCATCTTCACAATGTCAAGCTATTACAAACTTCATCTTCACAATGTCAAGCTATTACAAACTTCATCTTCACAATGTCAAGCTATTACAAACTTCATCTTCACAATGTCAAGCTATTACTAACTTCATCTTCACAATGTCAAGCTATTGCAAATTTCATACTTATTAGTACAAAGTTTGTAATAGCTTGACATAGTGAAGATGCATTTTCAAAGACCAATAGTACCATGGTCTCAGAAACAGGATTCTATGCTTATCAGTAATAGCATTCACTTACCATCAAATTTTAGCCTTCTTTGTCTCTAATTTACTCATATGAAATCTGAGCCCAAAAATTAGCATTCTTTTGAAAATAAAAAAAAAGTTCATTACCTCAATTCATCCAAAGAAAAGACAGAAATGACAAAAAAAAAGATAAAAAGTATAAAAGTGACCTGTTTTGTGTTTGATATATATATATATATTTTTATTTGATGGATGAGTGGACTGGCATACTTCTAGGAGGGCTGGAGAAAAAGTTTCTTACTGTTAATATTGATCTCTTTATCTGGAAAGGAGAGGCACCTTAAAATTGCCTGAGGATAAATGAAATGACATGAAATGAATGGAGTTTTAGGTCCTACTTTTCTGCACCATGTGTGCTATAATGAAGACAGAGTTTTGGGGATAAGAGACATACAGTATCATTTTTCCAGGTTCAGCACAAAACTTTTCAGTCAGCCCTCAAATAACAAGCAGAGAGACACGATTTCTTCAATTTCATTCACAATTTTATATATAGTCCATTTTTATACATAGATGATACTTCTTATTAAGTTAAAGGGAATGAATTGAAACAAAATAGGAGAAAGTCCGATGACCTTGAATAAGTCATCTTCAGTCATAATTCCAGTTGACCCGGCTGTAAATGGGTACAGATAATCTGGGAAATCAGTGTATCAGGAAACTCATAACATGGTTCCTGCAATTCCACTAAAACTAGGTGTTTTATGACTAATCACGAAGTCCTTAAGTGATAAAGCATAATCAAACACTTAGTTTTAGTGGAATTGCAGGAACCACAGACGTCTGATTGAAAATTGGAATGGTGAAAATTGATGCTATCAGTGTCCCTGATACACATAACAAATTTAGAAAACCTCTTTACTAACCCTTTAATTTGACGAAGGCTTTACAGATGTAAAAGCAGGTCATCTTTGAATATCTTTACAAGTTACAAAGTTTTGAAATATTCTCTTCTCTTTAAATGTGTTATTGATGCATGAAGATTGAATATTAGATAGTCCTACATTTCAAATCTACATTAATAATTCAACCTATATATAATCATATTATTCAAATTTGGTACAGTTTTCTAACTTTCTCAAATCAAGATAAAATATTTAAAATTGAACACACTTTTATATAAGAGTCATGATGAATAATT